CAACATTCGAAAAGAAAAAAATAGCAAGAGCAAATCATTACTTAAAGAATCTTAAAACTTAATAAAAAAAACCTTAAATTTGGTGTACAAAAGCCTTGTAATATATATACTGATAATCTGCAAAATTTCATGAGATACTCTTACTATATTAAAAGTTATAGCATGAAAACTATAACAAGCACAAAATGGTTATGAGGTCCCTCGAACTGAGCCTATAGTGAGAGAGTTAACTAGAAAAAAATTGGCTATTGTTATTACTATCCTTCAGAGAAAACATGTTAATTTTTATTTATTTTTTTTTTACTTATGTAACTTATTTATTTAACAATGGTATTGAAACATCTATAACCTATTATTAAAAGGATAAAAAAAATCATGTTCAAAATGTTGATTTGCCATGGAAAAAATAATTGATCTCTCAACAGATGGATCTCCAAATTTAAAAATATCAGGGCAAAATCTAGACTTCAAGTTACAATTTCTGTTTCTCCAGTCTACTTAATTTTGGTAGTAAGAAATAATTTCATGTAAAACATCATCTGGATTGTAAAGAGTTGTTGCATTTTACTTCTGTTATTGATGGTTAACAAGGAAAGTTGCCTCATGTTAACTATGTTAATCAAGGTTTGTGAATTGATAGTTTGCAGTTTTTATTATTGTTACCTCATATTTTATAACTTTATGCAGCTCAAATTATTAAAATCATAACGTGCTGAGAACAAGTACAAGGATCTGAGTCTCTTTAGACTGGTGTTTAAAAGGATCTGTGAGTGACAAGGTGTCAGAAAGCAATGAAACATCAAAAAACAATGAAGCAGTTTACTTTAAATATAAATGTTGGAAGTAATTCATAAGTGCTCAACAGGTTTTGCTGACATTAAGTGGTGGAAAATCAACAATTAAGATGTTAGTTCCAACTGTTGACCTTAATTAGGCAATTAAATAACCAACAAGATTGTATTTTGTTTCTTTTCCCTTGAAATCAAATTGACTGCTCTTCTGGAAAATGGAAGAATTTTGGGCTTATATTGTGGTTGACTGTTGTTTAATAGGCATCGACAAATGAAAACACATTTCCTACTTTGCATGAGAGCATTAATTTACAAGTTATGTTCAGTTAATCAATCTAAAATTCTGTAGTTTTTATTTCAAAAAATTATATGTATACAAACAACATTTTGCCAGGTAGAATGTTTATACCTCATAAAACTGTTACAGAATAGAACATAAATTGAACTTTTAGTTCAATCAAACTCTTATATAGTTCCAGACTTAGGCCATGCTCCTCATCGACTTCCTTCTAGGGATGATATTGAAACGGAATTTTCACCTCCAGTGAGGGCAATTGTAGGAAGTGCTGGGTCATCCAAAGGTCATCATTTGAACAAACAAGTGATGAACCGCAAACCTAGGGCTTTGGTTAATCCATTTGACCCATCTCATGTCACAATCAAGCTTACATCCAATCGAAGGCGCTGGACACATGTGTTTCCACAAGGTAAGAGCACTTAAGGAAATGTAGATTCTCCTGTAGTGTGACAACAATTGAAAATTTACTTCTTGTACCAGGATTACTATTGTTCTAACTAAACCTTTTCTTTTTTGGGAAGGCCTGAAAAAGTCTTTTATTTAAAAAAAGCTAAGATACCCTGAAATAAATCTTTACTTTTTGTGGTTCTGAAAAGTAAAAGAAATTCTCCACTTGTTGATTCTCATTGATTATGGAAACAAATCAATAAGCATTTCAAGCCAAAACAAATGATGAGCTAGTTTAGCAAAGAAGAAATAAGATTTGAACCTTTTATAAAAAAAATCTAGTTTGTGATATAGAGAATGCTGAGGTCCTGTTTAAGTCATCAGAATAGGAAGAGTGCCTATTTTTAATGTGTTAAAATTGACTGTTCATGCAAAATTTATCTAAATTTTTGAATGTTATCTGTATCTGTTATCATGGTATCTGTAGTAATTTACAATTTCCACAGTAAGTTAACTTGTTACAACTTAACTTAAGAGTATATTTTTTGTAAAATTTGAATTGTGTGATTTTTAAAGAATTAAGTTCTAATGTGTAAAACATTGGACAGCTATTAGAGGTGGTGAGGAGTCTGATCCATATATAAATGAACTGTATATTTTGTTTTATCAAAATGTTGATGAAAGGCCTTTGTTGTGTTTAGGCCTTCAAAAAATTATTACTTGTTACTCCTGAAAACTTGCAGGAATTTGGTATACATATGAGATATAAATTAAATCAAGATAAATTGGTGCACTGTATGTGTCATTATCAAAATTATCTTCCTTTGTTCAAGTTAAAGTTATTATCAGTATAGAAGTTTCAATTAGGGAACACAATACAAGGAATTTTGGTCTATCTGATTATAGTCTTATTAATGTTTTTTTTATTTATTTATGATTTAAAAATATTTTTAATTTTTTCAATGATTTATTGTTATGATGCAGCATTTGTACAGTGCATTAGTAATATGTATGCTAGTGCTAGATACTGAATGATGAATAAATTTAACTGAATCCATCAAAACCCTATTATACCTCAAAAGCCTCAGTAGCACCATATATCATCAACATTGCTTACAGCAAAATTCTTCATTAAGCCTTGCAATTTAAAGACCATTAGTGAACCACTGCTTTTTTTGTTTGAGACATCCCAGCTCCACAGCAACTTTGCAGATCAACCTACAAGAGATTGCCTAAAAGGTGCCCCGAGAGATCAATTGGGACATTTCAACTTCCCAAGAAAACAACACCTAAGGAGACAATTTTGGGTAGACTATACAGCCACCATCACCAAAATATTGTTGTTGAATCCTCTCATGTGGAATATACCTCTGGTTGCACTGGGATCTGAGCAACATTATTCTGAATAAGGTTGGTGGAGCCTTCATGTTTCTCACAAGCAGCATAAGGATTGAGCTCGAAGTCATAAAGTAAGCTTTTCTCTGTATATCTGAAAGCAATGACCAACATAATATTTCTGAGCGACTCATATGCAGTATTGCATAAAACTCAGAGTGGTTGATCCTCAGATGACTGGCAGAAAAGAAAGTAACTGCACTTAAGACCATCACCTGAATATATTTATCAGGTCCTGCTGGTGTAAAGCTAAACAAGAAAAGCCCCTTTATCAAATCCTGCACAACTTTATTTGCAGGATACCAACCTCTTATGTACTAGTAAAGTGGAAACAGCAACCAAGGAAGGTCTTCATTGACATTCAGAGGGAATGAGATTGCTGGAAAACAAAGTACCATATGGGTTAGCTTGGAAAAGAAAGAAAATTGAATATCAGTAAAACCGTGTACAGAAGGTCACTGATAACATCAGTAAAGACACTTCTACCTCCTGCAATGACTTTAACTCTGAAGACTTTTGTATTGGATAAGTTTGTTTTCCCAATTGCAGAAGTAATGTATGGTCAGCTCTTGAAGATTTCAACTGAATCTCATCAAACTTTGTTACCAGCTTACACCTTTGTCTTGTCAGAAGGATAGATTTTGAACAATTTGAAATTAACATCTGTTTTTTTCTCTTGGTAAAAAGAGGTTTTAAAGTCTCAGTTTTTATTGTGTATGCCGTTAGTGTGTTTCTTGAATTTTTGTTAGAAACTTGATTTAATTGCACAAGTGATAAATCAAAATGGTGCCTTGAAACAAAAGGATTGCTTGGCATATGAAATTTGAAGTGCCACTGTCTCAGTAGTAGCTATAGATTATTTCAGTTGTTTAGTTAATGACATTCTTTGTGGTAGTTTGTTTGGGATTGTAAAAGTACTTTCATATTTCACTGTGTTAAAGTAGTTGCTGAAATCTTTCAGAGATAGAACCTGGGGCAATATCCACTAGAGGAAGAAAAGACTTATTACATATGTGTTCTTCTGGGTTTTGAATAATTTCATCTTGTTCTTCATGATGAAAATAAATTTACTTACTTAGCTATGAATTTGTCCGACCATTTCTGCTTCTATGGCATTTCATTTACACTGAGTTTTGCATTAGTATATTCACCTTACAAAAGTATTCAGTATTCAATGGCCTAGGTAATGTTTGATATTTTCTTGCTGTATTGATACAGAACAAAATTTTCCACACACTCTTATCAGTCCTCAATCTTAGTGTTATCTACTATTAAATTATTGTTTGCCACTGCTGTTAGGGCATCATGAATGCCTCTTATTTTGTGTCTCAGTATTTAGACAGAGCTTATTCTGACTTTTCATCTATTCACAGAAAATTGTTTCACTGTGTAGTCTTGCAAGCTTTCTTTAAGTTTTTCCTACTTATTCACAATAAACTGCCAAACATTAACACTTTGTTTAAAGATTGATTTGCTGCATCACTCATAGGGTAAAATATTAATATTAGTTTCAAATGGTTGAAGTCCTAAAAATGTTCCTTAGTTTTGCATGTAGATTCTTTTTTACGAAAACATTTTATGCTAACACAGTAGTAAATTAACCAGTAATGATTTATAAGTACAGTAAACATCATTGTATTTACATGATTTATCAGATGTTTTTTAATGTACTTATTCCATTATCATCATGAAGCAATGTATATTATGTTTTAATGTTTTTTAACCTGATAGGTTGTTCAGTTACAGGTGTAACAGTAAGAAACAGTTGAGCTCATTGCAGCCTCATTGAACATGTAGCTGCATGAAAAGTAGAAATCAAATAATGGAATGAGCAGACCTAACAGAGGGTTTTGTTTACCAGTGAATCTAAGTTTGAGTTGTTCCACAATAATTAGTGGCAGAATATTTCACAGAAGAAAATGAGAACAGTACCACTACCAATGTACAACAGCTACAAAGACATTATGGGTGTGTATCTGTGCATATTTATGGTAGTATCTTCTCCAGAGATGCACAGACAGATCATAATACCCTATGACATTCCATTAAGAGTGTATCTGATATTGTCCAGGTTTTTGTGTTTCAGCAGGATAATGAATGTAAGTATTTAAACAACATGGTAAAATCTTGCCAGGAGAGGAAACAGCCAGTTAGAACACTAAAAGCCCTACCTTGGCCTTCCCAGAGTTCAGATCTGAGCATTGCTGAAGGAATTGGGATCTACATAGGTAAAGAAAGAGGGCAAGAGGCAACCAAGCAACCTGTGAAATTATGTGGCATGCTACAGGGTGTTTGAAGAAATATTCCATGCACTTTCAATAGTAAATTGTATAAGAGCATGTCGACCAGGTGTTCTCCTGTAAAGAGAGCAAAGGGCTTACGTGCCAAATACTAATGTATGTTGTCGTTCAGCCTGTTGTAAGTCCACAGACCTAATTAAACTTTTGTGTTTATGTTATTCTCCAGTGTTTTCATATTCATTTCCATTAGTATATATAACCAAAATAGATGCATTTTTAACCTCTGTTTTTTGTTATCCATGAAACTTTTACAGGGGTAGGCATTGAAGTATAATTCTTATAAGTGATTGTAAAACATTTTTACAAATCGAATGATAGCCTAATGCCTCTAAGCAACCTTTAAATGTTTGAGAACAGTGGAATTGAAATAGTTGCTTCATTAGTAGTTTGTTTCTGTGGTAACAGTGTCACTTTTGCTGGTATTTAAATCATTTATAATCAATCTGATGGTAACAAGATATGGCAGCTATGAATGAATGAAGCTAAATTAAAGCCTGCTATTGTTTGGTAGTATGTAAATAAAATTTGTTCTCTACTTTTTCCATAAAATAATTTATGTAGAGTTTAGTATCAGATATTACAGATGTTACATTTATTTTGAAAAGTACCATATTTGTTTTTAAAACTCAGAAGTATCAAAACTTGAAGAATGAAATGAACGATCATTTTTGATTTCTTAGGTCCAACTGGTGTCTTTATGCAGCAGCATCATTACCAAGCTGTACCTCAAAATACAGCAGCAACAATGATGCCTCCCACAGTGGATGATGACATTATTTTCAGCCAGGATCAGCTAAGGTTGGCAGCCCTACACAGAGATCCTCAGTGGAATAAAACTCTACAAGGACACCATCACGTAATAGAAGGTGTATAAGTTTTTAAATCTCATAGATTGTTAACTTAAATAGAACACACAAAGTAATATTAGGAAAAGTTTCTTATTTTCTTTTATATATATATATATAAGTTCTGAAATTCTTAATTTCACAGAGAGTATATTTTTGTTCTCTCATAAATTTTGGTTAACATTTGTTCAGAATTACTTAATGTGAATAATTTTGTGGCATTGAAAAATGCTGATTTGAAACTAAATATGCTTGTTACATGAGCTCATTTGCAATTCCAAACAAACCATGACAGTATGATATTTCTTGCCCACAACCACTAGGTTTAAGTTTACTCTTAAATATCCCCCTATCTTACACTGTTTTAAGTAAGTTCTGAATCTCCTATGGTTCTCTTGTCATCTTGATAATTGGTTTCATAGCATTGGTTTTTATTTCATACTACTTTCTTATTTTTTAAATTTGTATGAGTATGTGTGATTTTGTACTTCATATTGCAAAGTATAAATATATATATATAGGTTTTGCCTTTACCTTTATTCATTGTATTTTTTTAAGTGGCAGTCTTATTGGGTAATATAAATACCTTATTGAGCATATAAATTGATGGATTAATGTAAACATTTGTCATATGGCACTGCTGCAGTTTAAACTTTCAACGTTTCATTATGGGTCATAAACAATAACTTTTAAATCTTTTTTCATGTTTAGAAGCATTAGGAAGAAACTTTGATTGCACTAAACTTGTAGGCTTAGAATAGGTATATTATTTAACTGATGAAGCCAATAACTAATAAAAAAAAAACTGCGTTTGACTTTCTTTTTCCTCTAAGAAAACCTAAACTTGATTAAAGACACTTATTGTCTGGGCAGTGTTGGACAGGATATGGTTAAATTAAAATGATTCATTTTAGATGATGATATACAGTTTATTCTTAATTAAGAATATGCAAAAGATCATTAATAATTTCTTAAAATATCAATTATGAGGATGTTTATTAATATTGATGATAGTTAATACAGTTGATGTGTAAAAGCATGCGTAATTCCAAGTAAAATACAAACACCACTCATTTTTAGGTCATACACATCATTTACTAAGTTGGATCTACAATACAGCTATGAGCACTACTGTTACCCCTTTAAAATGTACATTCCACTCATCAAACGTTAATATTTAAAACATATACTTTTAGAACTGGAATGACTGCAGCCCAGTGACTAACTTGATGGCTCTATTGCTTCAGTAATACATACTGAATGCCTAGATTACAACATGTAAGAGAAAGTTTATGATAGAATAAGTGTAAAAAATAAAATATATGTTAATACTAGTAATTTTAATGCTGAAGAAAGGGCACTGATGTAACTCTACACTTCCCACTCATCAAGATATATGTTTAGTAAACAATGATGTTAAAAATTGTGACTGATAATAACACTCTCTCTCTCTTGTAACTTTTTGTTATACTTCAAGGTCAATATTTGTTTTCTAATAGAACTGTTAATGTTACTCTGTTCTTTTTTGCTGTTTATTAGGTATGTATAATTAATCAACAATTTTATGTTAAAAGGAATTTGACTGTTAACTTGCATGGAAATGGCTGCTAAATAAAGATTTGTCTTGCTTAAGTCAGCTGCAGTTCTTTTAATTGACTGCAATAGGGTGCTTTTGCAATGCAAGCTTACTGTATGCAGCTATGTGAGTATCACACATTGCATCAACTGTATGTACATAAATACATGTTTTTCATTTTCATTTAAAATATAAAAACATATATAACATATTTTTAAACTAATATGTATGTTTTATATAATTTATATATAGATTATATGTAAAATCAAATTGTTTTCAATCAAATATAAACTAATTATGTTGATAGTATCAGTAAATCATGCAAAATTGAAGGTTTGAACCTGAATTTTGTAATGTATTTCAAACCTTTGCAGTTCAAAATATACTCCTTCTTTACTGCCCTAGAATTATCTTAAGTATTTTTATTCTCTTCAAGTGAATTAAAGATAAATTTACTAAAATATTGTTTCTTAGTTTTATTAATAAGATCCTAAAACTTCCAAAGATTTAACAGAATCAGACAGAAGGAGAGTGTCAACAAAAGCAGCTAGTCAACTTTGTAGTGGAGAAATTAATTTATCCAATAGTGGTGGAAGTCTCGCAACATTTGAAGGTTGGTTTTTAGTATGTAACATATCCAGTAGTACACGTAACCAGAACCAACTCTCTAGAATATTATATATTAATGAATTAATGAAAAACACAGAAGTCACCAAAAGAATATTGTTCTAACTGTGAATCTCAACTATATATTATAAATTTTTTGCTATATTTTTTTAAACAATGTGTGCTAAATTCTTCCTACTGTTTTTGAATTCAAAGATAGGTTAGAGTGTTTTCTATTGGCCATTCATCCATAACATTTTATCTAGAGAAGCCTTCAACATAAATCTATCCCACAGAGATGAGCAGGAAGTGTTTGTCATTCTGTTTTTTTATCTATGAAGATCAGGATCAAATGTGGGACTTTTTAGACTCAAGCGAATGTTCTACAACCAAACTAAAGGGTTAACACAATAGCTATTGATAGTAAAGCATTTTATAACAGTGTTTGTGTGTAAAATATACTTGCACACAAAAATCAATGCATTAAAATGTGACACTTGTTGTGATGTCAAGTCTCGATAAGTAATGATTTAATGGTAGGCTTTGAAATATGTACATCTTTTTTTATGGTGTGAATTTCTTATGTTCTTTCACCTTCTAACTTGTTCTTTTGTGACAGAGAATATTTAGTCTTGCAGGCAGTATATATGATATAAATACAGTTCACACTGTTTTTTATGCAGGAAGCCAAAGTATATTTTAATGATTTTTAGCAGTAACAAGTCTAAGGAGTGTAGTATATTATGTCAAGAGAAGCTAGTAATTCCATTATCTTTTGTTGACCATTTTTTTGATGAGTTGGTCACCTTACTGGCTTTCTTGGGTTTTAGTGTTGTTATTTTTTTGGGAAACGTTTTGGGAATTTCTTCAGAAGATGCACTAACTATTTGTGATTATCATCCTCTGATAAAGCTAGATACAGATAGCTGTAGTGTCTGGTCAAAAAAAGTTAATGGCTCCCATTAACTTTATCTGCATTAGAGAGTACCTGCATATCAAATTTCAAAAATTTTAACTGAAAAATATTTTAGAATTGATAATTTCTCATTTTGTAACATTTACTTAGAATAATTCATGGAAAAAAATGTTCAAACTTGTGTTTTTGTACAACTCAAAGGAATTTTGCCTGTAAAAAATCCAGCTATATACTTTGTAGAATTTTTTGCCCATTCCAAAGTATAAATTTTTATATGCTAAGGAAGTATCATCCCTAGAAAATACAATTTGCAAATTCTTGTTTTGCTCTTGATTTTTCCATCTGTGTTTGAAACTTTATATTACAAGACCTTGTTTCCTCTCTTTTATGATGTTGCACCATTTGGTCTGAACAACTACTAATTAAGTTCACCTTTAAAAATAGATACAGGCTAAGATAAAATTCCATTGGATGTAGAAAATTATAAACAACTTGCATTGATTCAGAGTCAATAAAATGATGTGACAAGTAATTTGTGGGGAAATTGATAAGATGCAGCTCCTGCAGAGAAGAACAATGGAATGTAATGGGAAGTCTAGAAAGCTTAGGAACGAACCACAGATCTGGGAATTTTTTATACTTTCTTTAGACAGTCGTTTTGTTCCTGAAAATTTTTTTCGTGTTAAATTAAGTTTCTTTTAAAGGTACAGACAGTTTCTTCTATGACAAGACTTTGGGTAAGCCTAGCTGTGGTTTAAAGAGTACATTAGATGATGGCAGATTATTCTAGTGACTCAAATCCTTATTTATGTTATTATTAAGTTTATTGTGCTTATAAAATGCATGTAAATAAAATAACTTATAACATATTAAAAAGAAACTATATCTATTAGATGTAAATTGATTTTAACTCAGAATACTTCTAGTTAAAATATTACCTGGTAGGATCTGGTGCTATTTTGGGAGGTCAGGTCTTAGGTCACTAACAAATATTTTTTAATTCCTGTGGTGTTTTTACAGTTTATGATAGGCTTTGGTTTCCCGAAGCTAGAAGGTCCTTTATTTTTCTTATGTCTGTTTACAGGCAGCAAAGTTTCAAATGCATACTGGTGGATTCAATTTTGGTAGACTTTGATTTCCCATCATTTCCAGTGCAGTACTTCCCTCCTCAAGCCTTCCACTCCCCCCCCCCTATTGGAATCAAATGATTCAAACATTTGTCTCATGCATGTCATCATGCTTTACCTGTACACCAATAGGAGGATAGTACACTCACATGACACGTGTGCCTCTACCAAAATATCACTTCACATTTGGCAGCACTTACACTCGGATGTCTTTCTTTTTCATCTGGTTTCATGTTTGAGGTCTTGTTTTCTCGAAGTGGATTAATTTAATTTAAAATATGCAGTTTTTTTGTTGTTTTTTACATTATTTCCATTCACTTACCCTTATTCCAATCGCATTTCTTATTTACTTCAAACGCTATAGCCAGGTGCTATACCACAGGCTTCATGTGCTGATGACCCAATGGGAGATTTGTCTACATGTATTCACAGAGAGATTGAACATTATGTGGGTCAACCTTTATCTCCAGACATTGCCCCTCTTCATCCTGAACCTGTTGATGAGGACTTTGATTGCCTGTTTCTACCTCCTGATTTTCCTTATCCGTTCTGACAATTCCATGGTGGTGGCTTATGTCCACCACCAAGGAAGTACCCAGTCGAGATCCCTCTGTTTTCACATGTTGGATCTCCTATATTGGTCCCATGAGCAACACAATCGTTTAATTGCATGTCATGTCTCAGGTGTTTTCAACCTCGTGGCAGATCGTCTTTCCCACCCCGAATGGTTTACCTGACAGAGTGGTCTCTTCATCCCCTCATTTTCTGGTGGCTTTGCAGTCTGTGGGGGGTGTTTCTCACATCGATGCTTTTCTCACCACCCTCAATTACCAGTTGTCTGTATTTTGGTCCCCAGTTCCTCATCATTGGGCTCTGGCTATAGATACCTTCAGCCAGGATTGGACACACAAATTCCTATGTGTTTATCCTCTATCTGCTTACTTCATCGGGTAGTTTCCCTGATCCATGCCACTCCATGCCGGGTCCTTCTGATCACTCCCTACTGGCCAGCTCAACAATGGTTTTCTTGTTTACTCCACCAACAATTATTCCCTCCAGTACCACTTCCCTTATTCTACATCCCACACTTCATGCCCTCTGTTTTAATGCCTGGCTTTTGTCCAGGCCTTTGCAAGGAGATCTGGTTTCTCCCTTGTAGCTTCTCATTTGGCCCAATCCATCCTCCTTCCTCCATGGTAATGTATTTCTGATAGGTACTTCCCTCCATTCACACTTCCCACCCTTTTCCCCACTCACTTCCTGTGCTTCCGTCATCTGCCAAACTTCGAAGGTATAGTTCGGTAGAGGTACATAGAGGGAGTCACATGCGTCACGTGAGCATACTATGCTCCTATTTATGGATAGGTGATGCATAATGATTTGCACGAGAGACATGATAGGATTATTTTATTCCAAATAGGGGTGTGAAAGGCTTGTGGCATGCATAATAAAAAGTTTGCATATAGAGGGCAGCAATGAACGAAAATAGCTAATCTTGTGAGAAGAGGAAAGTACTTATCGGAAATACATTTTCAGTGTAGGAAAATTATAACTTTTGATAGGCTTTTATACTAGTACGTTGATAAATATTAAGCAAGTAGAAACTGATTGGATATCTAGAGGATAGAACTTTCGGATCAACATTGAAAAAAAAATTCTGAAATGAAATAACGTATATCTAATGTTTTTTTAGAACCACATCTCACAACAACATTTATGAAATTTACAACATAAAATTATAGTAAAATTAGATCAAGTTATGTGAATTTTGATAAAATAAACTTGATAACATTTAATAACTTCAGTCTAATTATTATGCAATTTAGTTAATTTTTTCCATTGTGGGAAGGAAAACATCAAGGGGTGTCAGTGACATCTCCGATACAAAAAAGTTAACTCTTCCTTTCTTCCTTCAATTGTTTTGCATAATTGCTAACCTTGCACCATGAGTACCAGGATGGGTTTCTCCATGGTATGACACAGCATGTTACCATAATGAATGCTTGGATTCTTAACTTGATTCCTTTCAGACTTGAAATGTACTAGTTATGTGTTGCACCTGCCACTTGGGTAGAGGAAGATTAAGACTATAAGATGTAGTCATAAGCTTTATAGTGTTCCAGTTGGACTTTTTGCCCTTTGATTTTGAATTTTCACTATTTATCTGAAGTTTATTCTAGTTGTTTCTAATAATTTCTGTTCTTTTTTATCCTTGGCTGTAGATGCTGCTTTTTATTCAGCATGTGAGAGTGCCTTCAGAGCTTTATTACTGGTTATAATTCTTTAGAGGACAATCAAAAAAATGTTTAATTTTAGCTTCTTTGTTAGCTCTAGGTTAAGAAATTATGACCATAAATGTTGTCCTGCAAACAAAACATGGCCCTCCCCTGTGCATTCCTACACTGTTAGTCATAGCTTTGTATTTTATATCCACTGGCCACCACTGCAGTCTTTGTTAGTCCCAGGTCAGTTGTGTCATAAAATTTCAAACCTTATGTGAGAAGGTCTAGAAGATTTTCTTTCTTTCTGCTGAATTGGTTTGTTTGATCATTTGTTTTTCCTGGATCATAAATTAAGGTTTCCTCAACTACTTACTTTAGAAACTGCTTTATCTGTCTGTCTTTTGTTTTTCTTCATCCCTTATTTCTTGTCAGAATGTAGATTCTTTTTAGGTGATTTATGTGGGGAATTTTACATCTCAAACACCTTAATATTCCCATATTCTGTCTTCATAATTTGTATGAGAATTAAGAATAATGTACAAAGTATTATAAAATACATTTGATTTAAATGAAAATAAATAAATACAATTTTTAAGTCTTTTAGCATATAAACTATTTATTTTATTTAGGTAGATTTCGTACCTCTGGTATAAGAACATCAACTTATGTGTCATCAGATTCTCACATTGACAGAAACTTGACTTTATTATGGGGTGCCACAGGAGAGCAGGAGTGGACACCAGCTTTGACCACTGGTCAGTTTCATTCTTTGGAAATGATCTTTCAAAATCTTATTTAAGTATGAATGGTATTGTAATGTTTCATGCTGTTAAGGGCATTTTCTCTTTGCTTACCATAAATTTTGTCTATCAACACAATAATTTGCTAAAAAACCTCTTCTTATATATATATATATATATATATATACAGTCTGCTACAGGTCAATATTGTTCTTTGAAGATAGTTTACTGTTTTAACTTATCAGAAAGCTACATCCAATCAGCTTGGCTCTGTGTGTTTTCATTTTGTGACTTCAGAATGCCTGTTATCTTCAAAACAACAAATAATTCGAAGACACAGTATTTGAATGTAGTATTTGTTGCAAGTGGAATGGAAGAAACATAAAGTAAATGCCTTATATGTAGAATTGGAAGGACATTTTGGACAAAGACCAATCATCTTGTGGAAAATAAGTACTATTGTAATACAGAAATGATCGAGGTTATTGGAAAAAAACACTGCTTGAAAAGGTAAAATAACCTGGTTTTAAAGTAATCTAAAACTGTTCAGGATACTAAAACAAAAAAAAAAGTCAGTCAGCAACTGATCTTGTGATTCACATTCTCTCTGCACCTGTTTAATCAGAAAAATATCCAGATGTATTCCTGCTCCATGTGACAATTGTAAAGCAGGTCCACATGCAATAAAGTATTATACGATATAACATTAGAGATAGATTCTTCAACAAACCTTTGCTACAAAAATTACCTAGATTTGAATCAGCACATAATCTCAACTGGATTTATTATTTTTTCTTAATTATATATATACTCTACATCTGAGCTCTTGCTCTCTTCTTAGAATTCTGATTTCTAACTTATCACCCAATTTTTTGGTCATCAGGAATTCAACATAAATTTATAAAGCATTTTTTTAGAAGTTTTATCAGCATTAACTAAATAAGACTTCACTTTAATGAAAATTACAAAAAGTTTTCTATCTTTCAAACTTTTTAAAGCTTATTAGATATTATATAATCTTTTGTCATTATCAAAGGGGGGGGGGGTAGTCAACTGAAAAATTTCTGAATACAATAACTGTTATCCTGTAAACATTTGAACTAATTATCAATTGTCCATCACATGGTCGCATAGTGTCTGAGTCACAAAAAGATTTGTGATATCATAATATCAACTTTTGAAAAATTGTGTGATATATCCTCACAATTTTCTCCAAAATAAAATTATAACTGAAATGTCAGAATTTTAAATTTCCTTTTGATATAAGTTTATTAATATTTGTTTTGAATGAAATAATTTTAATAAACCAAATCTTTAACACTCATTGTCGATTTTTAGCCTCCTGCTGGGATTTTTATTCAGACTGTGGAAATAAATAAATTTCCCACCTGCAGAGAGACAACTTGTCAGTAGATGATACAAATATGTAAATTTGTAGAGTTACAAAAATTTTCAAATAGACACTATTAGAAGTTTCATTAAACAATTCTCACTCTTGCTGTTACGAGTGAGCAGGTAATAGCTCATTCCTTCCTCCCCCAAATATCCAGCACCCTATCATAAGGAAATAAGTTATACATATAATAACTGGAATATGCTGTCAGGCTTTCTAATAGTACATTCAGTGGTAACTTTATTAATTAACTTATTCCCCTAAAATAATGTATTCAGCAAATTTTATTCCAACAGTTTTCCTTGAATGTATCTTGTCATGGAGTCTGTATTTGTTTAATATTAGCTGTTATATAAAGGAAGTATAAATGATGTGACATCTAGTATTTTTCTTTAGGTGTTGACTGGAAATCACTTGCCATTCCAGCTTGCCTGCCCATTACAACTGATTATTTTCCAGATAAACGAAGTTTGCAGTATGATTTTGTTGTTTCTGACTATTTTCTTCAACCAGAAGATATTAGCTCAGAGCTGACTCTCAGAAGGTAAAAAAATTAACCTTTTTATTTGGTTTTATACAGGAAAAAGTATAATAGAAGAAGAAGGATAGATTCTTTCTTGGACAATAGATGACATGTAAAGCAATGCAAACAACCTTTGGATGGTGAATATAGCAGCCATTCGCATTTTATAAACTCACCATTCCACAGTTCACATTTGAATAATTTGTTTGTTAAATATCTTGTCTGTGTTTTTTCTCCTTCACTATACACACGGCGGGAGTTCGAAAAGTCACAATCGTGATTTTGACATTTTGTCGGCCCATTGAGAATCCAGTGGTCTACTGTAGCAGTATCTTTCAGTGTTCCGTAGTCCTGGATCTGTCAGAGCGTGATCGTGAATCACATTCTCGATTACCGTTGCGGATTCATGTATTTCTTCTAGTAGTTCATTAGGAGAAGGAGCTCATGTATCTGGAACTGGGGGATCAGATGAAGAAGTGCTTGCAGGAGTGGAACTAAGTGTTGATGCTGTATCCAGATCAGGAGCAGTAGCTTTTGCAGCAGGTTTTTTTTTATTTTATTTTCGATTTAACTTCATAATCATTAATATTATTATAAGAAATTGTTTTTTTACTCGGCTGGACAGTACGGTACCCAAACAAGTAACAACTAAAATTTCAATTATATTTACTGTATCTTCTGGCTGATCATGAACCATGTCATGGGGGGAAATTTCGGGTTGCTGAAAAATTTTGGTATTTTTGCTGATAATTAGGCCATGGAGTAATAACACTGGCTGAGGTGGTGCTATTTGTTTATTATATATCAGCTGCATACTCTGAGCTGTTTGAGAGTTCATTCAACTTTTAACAACTCTTGAACATTTGCAATAGGACTGCTTGTGTTGTATTACACGTACATAAAAACACAAAAACACGTATACAAAAATGCTGGAGTGCTGCACTGTTGCTGTGCTGGCCAGGTAAGGAGGCCCTGATTTTACATTAACGCCATTTCTATTTAATGATATGAACCTTAATTTTTATTTTTCAAATTGAATCTCGGGGCCCCCTGGCAACTGCCCAGTGTGCCCATGCGATAAGATGGCTCTGACTATTCAAATTTTCTGTTTATTAGTTCAGAACTAGCATCTTTGAACTCTTTACCATGGAAACAGGTTAATAGTCTTCTCTGATGACTCCTTCCTCCCCAGAATTTGAGCTGCTCATGAGGATGATTGGATGTTTTTTTCCAATCAACTTCCCTTCACTTTCTTCCCTATATCATCATTCAGAGCCTGATTGTCTCCTTTGTCCTGTATGGGCTGTTCATTGTTATCACACCCATACTACCACCTTTCAAGGTAGTTGACAAAGTCTTTTCTTGCCATGGGATTCCTCTTCTTCTAATAACTTATTTCCTTCCGTTTTAACCATTTAGATTATACACCACATCTGACTAGTTTATTCTTCTATGGGTGATGACAGTTGTTTTATTTTTCATGTCTCCTCCATCAAGTTCATTATCTCCTGGCTTATTTTGCCTCTATTCTTCCATGTTCTTTGTATGAAATTTTGCATGCAAGGATATGGATGACTCCTGGCACATTTGTGTCACACATTACTTACATCACATTGTGGTTTCATTTACCCCTAGGTTTAATCCTTCTATGTGGTGTTAGGAGTGTTGCATATGTGGGTGGAATTGGAAGAGTGCTCAACCATTCAATGATATCTCAGGCAGTTGGCCGAGCATGTATATGTGGTTTAGCTAGGGCAATAAGCCAGGCTATACAGTGTTGGAGGAATACTCATCAAAATAAGAAGATGTAGAGAGAGATCATCCCAGACCTGCATTCCAAGAACACAAGACCATCTAGCTGGCCTAGTCACCAGGAAGGGTTTGGTTCTTAGTGCAGGGGTGGCCTGTATTACACTTCCAGGTATAAACCCCAGCCCTATTTTCAATCAAGGTCAAGGAATACATCCACTTGGTCTCATATCAGTGGGATTAAACCAATCCAAAGATGAACTCTCTATACTTACCTCCCCAGCAGCTTAAGGCTAGGGAAGTAAGGGTTCTCTCATTACTCCACTAGAAGAAAAAATAGAGGTGAAGGTAATTTGCATAGAGGGAGAACACTAGAGGAATGTATGGTCCAAACAGAAATTTTCTTCATCTGCATAAATTCTCATGCTGACAGATTGTGAAATAGGTTATAGCAAATAGGGAAAGCACATACTAGTCTGGTGTAAAGGCAGGCTTGCACATGGTACTATCAATTTCTTTTTCCCTGGGGGTAAAATACATATATACTGCTGAAACAGTTTTGTAGAAGACCCAATCTCAACAGTGGGCACAGAGCATGGGCAGATTGACTTACCATTTTCTGTTAAACTCCATTCGATGTAGATTTCATGAGAAATAAGTATTCCCTGTAAAGCAACACTAGCCACACAATAGGTTTCATTAGCTCCATAATATAGATATATATAGATAAGACCTATAAAAAAAGAAAATGAGAAAAATTAATAACTCACCTTCTGAGAGCCTCTGTAAAGAGTGTAGAAGGTGACTGGTAGCATCCTTTCCACAGCATCTTTTGTTTTACCACTTTTATTGGACAAAGAGTATTCCTTGCATGAGAAGGATGCGAGTTTCCAATCAAGTGATACCCCACAAGGCTGCTCCCCTCCCTTAGTGGGTGACACACTCCATGGGTTTTCCCTTTTTAATTCTGTGATTTTAGAGAGGTTCTCATCTTTATAATTTCTTTATCTACACCAGCCTCTCAACCATCTTATCAATGTAGGATTCCAGCTCTTTGCTCTGCAGATAGATGAGACTTTTTCTAAAGTTAACATTTTCCTTTCTTGAAAATATATTTCAACTACATACTCACCCTTCTGCAGAACCACTCACCTTTCTTTGCACTTCCACTGTGTGTTTTTTTTCCTTGTCCAGAATGAGCTTTTGTTGTAATTTATGGAAGATGTGTTGCCTTCCTTTTAGTGGAGTGCTGTAGGCTAGCACAGTTCAAATTAATCCTTTCTTGATGGGTTGGTCATTTTGCATGATCTTGAAAGATTATGAAGCTATACATGCTAGAACTCTGAATTTACATAGTATTTCGTCAAGACATTTGACAAGCTTTTATTAAAAGTTAAAAGTCTGTTTGACCCAAAAAAATCTGAGTTTTTAATAAGGTATTTATAGTAAAGATGTGTGTGAATTTTTGGATTCTTTACTGAGTCAATTTGAGTGCAAGATGATTTTGGTGTTAAGAGTAAAAATACTTTTCAATCTTAAAATTTTCCTACTTCATTTACATAACCTCTAGAGCCTCCTAAATGAATACCAAAAGTTTCTCCAGGTAAAACTTTATATTCTATGTTATTTTCTCAACTCTAGAGCTAAAGTACTCTAGAACTAAAGTTAAAGTACAATAAAATTAAATTTTGAAAATTATGAAATGAACAATACCCTTTTTTCTTCTTTGAATCCATTCTTTTGGGAGTTTTTCAGTTTTCTTATATCCACAATTTCAACTCTTTACCCTTTCACATATAGTTTAATTTTGTGGTTTTATTGCCTGGCTTGATTCTTCGTACCCAGTTTATTCATCCATGAAAGGCACCACATTACAGCAGGAACACATACATTAGCAGATTCTTATACACCAACATGGCTTGATGTGAAATCATGCAGTCGAATGGCATTGCTAAATAGGCCTAGTTTTTTTTTCTCTAAATTTATTCTTGAAATAAATAGTTACCCTTCAAGTATGCATTCTAGAACATAAATAGTACATAACTCGTTAAAATAGTATGTTCAAAAAGCACAATGATTTAACTGACTTTGTAACTAAACTGTAAATAAGTTTAAAAAAACGTTAATGTTATGAGCATCAATTTCTCTGACTCTTACAAATCATTCAGTTCCTCTGGACTAATGTCTTGCCAGATTCAAATGGGCAGTTCAAAGCTTGAAATAGAAAATAAGCTCTTTCCATTAGTTCTAAATATATGCACCAAATAAGAACATGTGGTTTTGAAAACTGCCTTGAAAGTTAATGATAAATGAGCAGGGCTTCTGTTATGGGTTGGGAAAAATTTATTGATATCTGAGCAAACAGAAAAGTTAAGATTTTGAAACTCTACATTTTACCTTGTGATTATTTATAGATTGTGTTTATATAACATAGATAGTACAGATGCTATACAAAGTGGATGAGAAAATGTACAGCATTTGATAAGAAAAGTGAAGATTGAGAATTTTGTAATTAAGGAATTAAATCTTATGTAATATAAAATTTGAATTATAAAGTATATTCCTATGCTAATTTTATTGACATACTTCAATAATAAAGTTGTTTAATTGAATAAATTTTGAATATATCTCTAAAACATCATCACTGCACAAATGAGCCACACTTGTACTTAAAGGATTAATGTGTGTAGAGGTGGGAGTTTTGTTCAGGGATTGTGGCACATGCAAAAACCTTCTCAGCAGGTGTGAGAGGTAATAGTTTTGTTCTGCAGAAAGAGAGATGAGTAATTATCTCAAATACATTTTAGGGTTAGGAAAATGTTGACTTTGCCTATTTATGAGACCTACTTTAGGCTTAATAGTTAATTGATGCAAGACATTTTGTTGTAAAAATCTAATTGGGTGTTATAAATCAATTTTACAGTGATGTACTTGCAGTTTATACAGTTGGGTCATATACCCAATTGATATTAAGCTTTTACAGTGTGTCTTGTTTTTTTACTACCCTAAGGTGAATAATTTCTTTTTTGGCTTAAAAATATCTCCTAGTCTTGTTTCTATATATTCTTAAAATTTTTGATAGAATTTGCTTATCCAAGTGATAACTGAAGAATATGTGACCCGAGTTTTTAGTTAATGATACTACCTAATCTAATCGAAAAATGATATAAATTGATTGTCAATGACTCAGTTTATAGGAATATTGATAGATTTTAATTTACTGCAGTATTACAGATATCTTTGAAGACCTTCTTAACCTCCTTCCTTTTTTAGTCACATATGATATAGTACTAGTTATAAGTTTGAGCAATTTGAAATGTTTATTTATAACAGATAAGCCTATAAAACATCAATTAACAAGAAAAATTTGTCTTTAAAACAAGTTACAATAGAGACTGAAAACATTTCCTTCAATAATTCTAAATATGTACAATATTTCAGTAATTATTTTCCTGACATTATATGGTAAAATAATTTGATTTCTTTATTTCTCTTAAATTATTAAATTGTCAAAAAACCAAACAGATTTTTAATTAAAAGGTAGAAATCATACAATAATTATTGCTTTTCATAAGGACAATAGATAATGTTATATTATGATCAAATATAGCCTTTAAAAAGGTGCAGTACAGTGGACATTGGAACATCTTGTTACAAAAGGATAATTTTAAAATATCTGCAAGGAAAGGTCATCTGAGAAAGTAAACCTTGTTAAAGAATTTTCACTTTCATCTCCTTCAAAACTTCTGAAATCAATGCCCAACTCCATGACAAACATGGTGTTTTGTTAAGTTTAAGAATACTCATAAAAGTATATGGCTTGGAAAGAAAAGTATCAGTAATGAAGTTGAAAATATTACAGAAAATCATGGCAAAAAGAACGTTGTTTTTCTTGCAAAGGACCACCAATAGTGAACTGCATGAAATTTTTGGAAATTTTAAAAGAGTTTCTGTGAGAAGACAGTCCTAAGAAATTCACGCAGAAGTCTGTAAACAAGCCAGTGAAACATGTGGAGGTTCAGTAATGGTTTGAGGGTGTTTGCCTTTTATGATGTTGGAAACATAAATAAAATTAAAGAACTTATGAAGAAAGAACAGAACCACAACATCCTTATCCACTTTGCATTGCCAAATGATCTGTTTAATTGGCCAGTGGTTTGAATTTCCATAAGAAAATGACCCAAACACATGTGCTTTATCAGTTAAAAAGTACTTGGCAAAAAAGAAGAAACTTGAATAAAGTAAATAATGAAATGGCACCTCATAGTACAGATTTCAAATAAAATTAAAATTTTTCAGCAACAACTGAAAGTTCTCATGGTCAGAGAGAAGTCAAAAACTTTACAACATATGTGGTATATTTTGTAGCAAATGTAGACCACAATCTGCACAACTTGGTGACATCTAAGCCCAAACATTGTGAACCAATTATCAAATTTAGGATTGGACTTAAAAGGTACTATTTTAGCACTAAAACCTTATTCAAAAGTTTTATTTAGATCTTTCCTTACAAGGATGAATAATGAAATGAACTAAAGTAAAATCTACCCATTATCAAACTATATATATAATAAAAATAACATTGAAGGCTATCTTCTTTGAAACATTGTATTTTCTGTCTCTACATTATTTAACAATCTATATGAATACCCTTCTTCAGAAACGGCTATAATATTTATTCTCACCAATGGTGGAGTGGTTCATTGAAAGCTATGAATCAAACATATAGGAGCCAAACATGCCAACTAAGGTTCCACAATGTGACTTGTGGTGACATCCCACTGCTTTGCTATTTGCAAGTCATTTTTATATCAAAAATAAAATAAAATACAACTCTTTCTTGCAACTTGAATCAGTAGTGACTTGTAGCAAATAAACAAAAATGACAAGATATTTTACAAACATTTTTTTTACTTAAAGAACAACACAGACTTTGACTTTAAGTGAAGACTTTAGTTGGCCTGAATAGTTTATAATTAAATTGAAATCATTAGTCAGATTTTGTAAAGTGGAATGAACTTTGTCATTGTTGTTTTTTAGAATTTTTTTCTTTTTATTTCTACAGATGTTACAGAGGGGAGGAGGATACCAAACATCATTGTCCAATAACAGCAGCTCAAGTTTATAGGGAACTCATTAGCCAAAGACTGCAACAGGTAAACATTTACAGATATGAAAGTTTTAAAAATAACATGTCATCAAAACTTTTGTTTTTCATTAATAATAGTTGCTTTAAAGCTGTATTTATTGTAGCATATCTCGTTTGGTCTGAATAAATTATTATTTTTTAAATTGTATCATCAGCATGATGTGATATTACAGTAATACTGACACTGTCACTTTGTATGCAAAGGTAGTGTGTTAAAGATAATTTGTGTACTTAAAAAAATGAATTTAGAGTTTTCTTTAAAGATGTTTATTATTAATTGGGCAGGTGGGGTAGCACTGCCTATTTAGCGATGGCTCAGATTGTTCATTGAAATGATATTTTAAGTATCTTCTCAAAAGGTCATTAGAACTTTACAATACTATATAGTGTTTCTTTTTATAACAATATCTATGTAATGACTGAGTCACAAGTTCTGGTAGGGAATGTCTGTAAATATCAGCAAAAAGTTTGAATTTCTTATTCTTCTTTCTTCTTTTTTATTACATGATAACTCAAAAGCCAAAACAATGGTGTCAACCAATTTCACTGAGGTGACATAGTTCCAAACAGAATATTCACTTTTATAAGTATTATTAACTAGCAGTAATTTTAAAAAATCATAATTCTAGTATAAAAAGTGTTATGATTACCCCTTTAAGTTAGCTTTTTTACAAAATTTGGTGTTCCTTTTAAAAAGCTTAAGTATAGGGTGAAACGGGAATTATCAGCCAGTAATGGATAAACAGTATATATATTACAGTTGGAACCTCACTGTATTTAGAACTTGGTTATAAATACAATCTTCCTATGTCTGTTGAAACACTGCATTAAAAAAGCAAGTAGAGAAAAAGTTTTCAAAAAAGGAAGTAAATGTAGGGATGGCACTTGCATCATCTCTACAGACAAGAATTGACATATAGTAATATATATACATAACTATTCAATCACAACTGAGTTTAATTTATCATATTTTTGTCTGTTAACATTGTACTATACTGTGTGCCTGTGATATTATGTAGGGATGATGTAAATACCATCCCTACTACATTTTTTGAATTGTTTTTGAAGGAGTGATATTAGCCATCCCTACATTTAGTTCCTTTTTTGAAAAGTTTTTTTCTTTACTTGTTTATAGTATTAAAGGTAATGATACTTTTTGTTGTATTTATGTTGAAAAGGTTAGAGCTGTTTCTATAGTTAATAACTTTGAACTTAACAATCAAGCACTAAAACAAGTAACCTATGAATTAGAAATAACCGATTCTAGATTTTACTTAGAAACTCAATACTTTTTATGCATGAATATAACACTGTGTGTGTGTGGCTATATATATATATATATATATATTCTTAGTGTGTCTTTATTTGCTGTACACTTGGATACAAGAGTTTAATTCAAATTAGGAAAATGTTTTTGTGTAGAAAATTAGTTTTCCTTCATTAAGTTGCATATTAAAAATATGTATAGTAAATTTTGATTTATTTGATATTCACTGACACATACATGCTGGTGTCATATTTTAACAGCTTCAAGTGGTTGTACACACCAGAATAAGAGAACTCACCCAGAATATTATGTAATATTTTCATTGTTATTATATGCAGTGTGATAACATTTTGATTTCATTTTATTTTTATTGAATAAATAAGTTTACTACTTTTGTTTAAAAATTTAGGGTTTCCAAGTTATTGTAATGCCAATACACCATCCTTCATCCTACCATGCACAGAGTAATTTAAGTCCTCAGTTTACTTCATCACTTGTTTGTGCTAGAGTAAAGAACGACCAAACCGAACATGTAAGTTTTTGTTTAAATAAACTGATTTTGGGAAATAACTTTATCATTATGATATATATGTACATGCACGCGCGCACACACACACACACATACATACATACATGTGTACATATGATATGTTTGTGTTTAAGTGTAAAGCTACATAATGGGTTATCTGCATTGTGCCCAGTGCAAGTATTGAACCCAAATTTATAGTGTTATAATCCTTAAAGCTTACTATTGAGAAACCAGAGATTGCACACACATTATAGATTTTACACATTGATGCCTACTTACAAATTAACTAAATAGTTAAGCCAGACATGGCCTAGGGTTTAGTATCCTAGACTGCAAATCCATAGTTCATGTTGTGTTGCCACAGAATCTGTGCTGTGTACTTTGGTGCCATGGGGGTGTTGTAAGTCAGAGTAAAATCTCATTATTCAGTTCAAGTAACCCAAGAATTGGCAGTGTGTGTTGTTGTTGTTGACTAGCTGCCTTTCATCTAGTTTATCTGTTCAAAATAAGGGACTGTTAGTGCAGATAACTTTTGTGTAGCTCTGTGTAATTATTGAAAACAAACTAAATTGTTTTTTGTTATTTTATTGATAGAGAATTTATAACTTATATCATTGGGATCTGAATTTCTAGTGTTTTTGTTGCTGTTAAGTATAACATGCAATGATTATTTATGCAACCACATACTCTATATTTGTGTGTCAAAAATATATAGTTATCATAACTTTAATTTCAACTCAACTACTATTTTAAAGAGATTTTGTTCATCTCATGTACTTGTTTTGCGATTATAAAGGATAAGATCTGCATTCTACTAGGTAATTTTCATGTTTTTATTTTTTGCATTTTAAGGTAATCTAAATACTTGAAATTGTAATTTTGAATTTAAAAGGATCTAGGATTTTGTTTTTTATAAATAGTGTGTTTCATTTGAATATTACTGATCTGGTCCATTCACATATTGTTACTTCCCAGGATGAATGCTTGATGAGTATTGGGAGAATATTTCACAAGATGACATTAGATGGTCCAACCATCACTGTCACTCAGTACAGGCCAAGGTGAGAGCACACTGGTGATTTACTCATTTTGCTTTAACTAGTTCTTCACAGGGTACTTCTTAATTTAATCGAGATACAGCAGTGCCCAAGTTACTGACAGTCATAGTTCTATCAACAACAGACCTGGCATGGCTAGGTGATTAGGGTGCTTGCCCTTTCAGCCATGGGGCATTATAAAGTGATGATCAATCCCACTATTTGTTGGTAAAAGAGTAGCCCAGATTTGGGTGGTGATGACTAGTTGCCTTTCTTCTAGTTTTTCACTGCAAAATTAGGGACTGCCAGCACAGATAGCCCTCATGTTGCTTTGCATGAAATTCAAAACAAACCAAATCTATCAAATGAAGCACAAGAAAATAAATTACTGTCTTATGTTTTTGAAATATTGCATTAACCAGCGGCACAGTCAAGTCATCTGCTGCTAGCCCTGTCCTACAGTTTTTGGATAATATGAATTTAACTCTATTCTTTTTATTCTTTTCAGGTCAGCAGACTTACAATGAAAGCTAATCAATCATAAAATTGCAATCTACATTTTGAGTAAACATAAAAATACTGTACACAGACGACTGCTTATATATGTGCTGTAGAAGCTACCATATTGGTCATTCAGTAGAGTTAGTTTAAAATTAAGAATATTACATTTCTATAAGTTATTTGTTCTGCAATAATCTTTGATACAAGTTACATAAAATACTCTTTGAAACTACTTTATTGAAAACATTTGTGGTCTGTGAAAGCGACTACACTGTGATGTCTTTTGATTGGCTGAACAGGTCACCTGTATGATAAACCAAGTACTGATTGTTTGGAGAAAAAAAAACATTCAGTGAAAGGTGAGGTAGAAAAGAAACGACACTATAATGAAAGAGGATTTTTAATTAATATCACATGATCAGATTTGCATGTGAGAATCTTACTATAATCAAATTCTGTAATAACATTCCTGTCTGTTGTTAAAATGGCTCCACCCAATAGAGATATGAAGATACCCTGCAGATGCTATTAGTATTTTAAACTTAAGCACAACTAGAAAATGGCATAACCAGATTCTGATACTTAATATATTTATAATTCAATAATTTTATATAATGTTAACACTACTGACTTAACTTTATTAGCTTATTGAAGAAAGCTAAACTCTAAATCATGATATAAAAGACTGTTTAGTTTAGATATTATTGATTATTTTTGTGAGTGAATATTTTATTATTGTTTAGTTTTCATTATAATAAGAATTAAAAGTAGACGATTGAAGAAAGTTTTGTTAATAATTCATTGATGTTGAGACTATCAAATGCCAGAAGCAATAAATTGACATCGAGAATATAGAAGATGGGCAGAAGATTAAGTGATAAAGATATAAATAGTGTGAGACCAGTGGAAACAACAGACAGATAATAGCAAAAAAGAGTAAAGCTACAGGCCAAGGAAAAGTTTGGTGTGAAGTTAACTACTGTAGAAATTACAGGCCTAACGTTTAATATGTTAGAGTAAGACTAATGATAGAAAGGGAGATAAGAAAAATAATTTATTCTGTCAAACCGTGGTTCTAAAGTAATTGAATCAGTCTGTGTGCACTTTGACAAATAGAACAGAGGATCTTCAGAAGAAAGAAGACCAAATGATTACAGTAACTCGTGCCACAATTGTAAGTGAATCACACACACAGAATACTAGTATGATAGTATTCGAGAAAATAGTTCGACTTGTCAACTGACATTCTAAAGCAATTGAATAGGCCTAAGTGGACTTTTGACTAGAAGAAAACTCTATATATAGTGTCTATGATACGCCTATAATCTCTATAGTGTGAAGAATTTGTTGTACTTACATTTAACTTGTTCTGAATATATATATATATATATATATATTCTGAAAACAAGTGAAGTGCGTGCTGTTCATTTATCATTGAATTTATCGCTAACAAGTTACAGGCACCTACTGTAGAAAGATCCTAAGCCCAACAACAACATAGTATGTATTTATACTATTAAGAAATATAAGTAAAAGCCTTTTATTTTGACAGTTGGTGAAAAAGAATATATATATATATTACAAATTTTGACACTAAATAATACACCTTTTAAACATTTTTGAACTTGTGTTATGTTTTTTACTATGCTATTTTCAACAAAAAATTATTATTTAGAGTTAACAACTGTTGGTTATCAAACTTTCCCCTTACGATGTAATTGGCAGGAACAGTAACCTAAAAGAAGTGAAGCAAGAGAAGAACACTTCACAATACTGTAGTTATTTATGCTCATATTGCTGAAATCTAGCAAACAAATTGAAAAATTCAGTACTAGTGAAAAAGAAAATTATAACAAAAATCTAAGAGACTTCTTGGAGCAAAAAAAATTTTAAATAAGTTTTAAAGAAATTCAATGCTGAAGGATTGTTATTATGTTCACAAAGATTATATCAGAACTGTTTTTACAATCCATTAACTGTTAAACACATCCTAGATTTTACTATAAAATATTATGTTTAATGTCAGTCATCCCTAACATGGACTTCAGATGAGTTTTTACTAGTTGTAGTCTTCAGTGCATCATAAGTTTATAGAGATAAACAGCTCCCACAGCCAACTAGTTGTAATCTTCACTACATCATAAAATTATAGAGATAAACAGCTCCCACAGCCAACTAGTTGTAATCTTCATCATAAATGTATAGAGATAATCAACTCCCACAACCAACTAGTTGTAATTTTCACCACGTCATAAAATTATAGAGGTAAGCAGCTCCCACAGCCAACTAGTTGTAGTCTTCACTTCATCATAAGTTTATAGAGATGAGCAACTTCCACAGCCAACTAGTTGGAACCTTCTCCACTACATCATAATTTAATAGACTTCCTCTGACTCTTTGTAAACAGCCAGGGAAGAAATGAGATTAGCTTTTGTTTTGAAAGGTTCAAGGCCTGCTTTAAAATGTTGTGTTTTTGTATAGGTACATAATTGCGTATGTCAACCATGTCTTATTATATTTTAAATTCAAGTTCAGTTAGTTTTGTTTTGCATTAATTTCATCATTTCATCTTGGAAAACATATAATACAATTGTGGAATTTGAAATAAACTGTATTTAATTATGTTCATCAAACTTATTTGTTTCTCCTTTTCTGCAGTTGTTCTCACATTAAGTTCCATCCTCCAAATCTCTGAATCTCTTGTTATGAGAAGATAGTTTACTTATTTGTCATTATTCCTATAAATAAGGAACACCACGTGGAATTGAACAAAGCTGGAGACATCTGCTCTCTACAACCGAATCAAAATTTGTATTGTTTGGCAGTAGTCAGTGTACAACATTTACAGAAAGCTTGGTGAGGGATCAGTACAAGTTGAGGCTACATCTTGGCCAACTATATCAACAACTTATACAAAATTATTGGTACCCTAACTGTTGATAAGTACAGTCTGATTCTGCTCCATTCATGCCATTCTCTCAAGAACATGACTTATTGAGAATGGATTCATCTCTCAGTATTAACATGGTACCAAACATATAGTAGAAGTTGTGAAATGATATCTTGATGGTAAAGAGGCCAGTTGGGACACTTAAAACCATGGCTTGACCTGTAAAAATTCCTGATATGAATATCATTGAGGTTATGAATTTACTTAAAGACTAAGAAGATCAGAAGGTGGCCAAACAACTTGTCTGAATTGTGAGGAGTAATACAGGGCATTTGGAACAATGTTTTGTAATTTAACGATGAAAGCATCTATGGCAGCAGGAAAACAATGGTTAATGCTTTTCGTAAAGCATAGGTCTCACATACAAAAATACTCTTGTATTTTACAACTTATTTACTTTTTGATTGTATTTTCTCTGATAAAATTTAGTTGCATTACTAAATTTACCATCCAGTTACCATTTCTACTTGTTTGCAAATCCTATATGTGTATCACTCATTTGTTTCCATAATTATTTCCAATACTGTTGTATCCCAGCAAAGAAACCAGTAAAACAGATTAATTATTGTATGTTTTATTACTTTCAAACATCTTTAACTCTTATTTATTTTAAATATTATAATGTCAGAAATGAAACAATTTTGGTTAAAAAAATAAGTTTTTGTTTTATAATTTGAAGACACCCTTGTTCAACCCGTAAGAGCCATTACTGCTATCGATTCCAAGCACCTGACAATGACACTTATGGAGTTTCGTGGGTAGACTTTGCTAGTGAAAAATTGGAAACTTACAACTGGAACTACCTGGACCATTACATATGTTTGAGAGGAGAAGATGAGTATAAACTTAAAGAGGTAAGTTAATAATGTGATTATTTTAGTATTACCATAAGGCTAAGCTATTAATTGTTACTTTTTGTTAACCCTGTCAACCCAGGTATCCTTTACTGAGCATGACACAAGGTTTTAGTGTCTTACATTCAAAATTTTATTATACTACTTTTTGTTTATATTATACTAATTAGAATAGCTAATAATCCATATTTTAATAATATACAAGTTTTAAGTTTTTAATTCTACAAGTGAATATTTTAAAAAATCCTGAATTTCCACTAGTATGACCCACGTGACACATTTTGTCTTAGCATGTCATCATCCCTATTTTATACATCATCCTTCACAAATGTATGAAATTAAATGTAAAGTACTCTCTATTAAATCATTATTGCTCAGACAAACCATAATTTTTATAGTCTTCAATTTTGTTTGGCTACAGAGCTATTGATTAGAAAATCAGACCCCTCCTGCTCCAAATTGGGGAACTTGTACATTATAACATTAGTGGAAACAGATGTTTTGTAAACATAACTTACACCCTGTTTTAATAAAAGTATAACATCTAGAAACTCCTCCTAGTGTAATTGTATTTTAACTTCAACCTTTTGAAAAATCTGTTCAATCTCTCCTTCTAACTTGTGTATAGCTTTCTTGACAGTAACCTTTTCTTTATTATGAAATATACAATTAATGTCAAAACAATTAAAAAAACTGTTTAACTCTAAGCATCTTGAAATACAAACACATTAAATTATGCAAACATATTTTGTTAGCTTTTTTTTTATGAATAATCAATGGTTCATAGTCGTGTATGTTTTTAGTTTTATTGCTTGTAATATATAATTTAATTGAAATTATTTTTTGATTATTACAAGTTGTTTGTTTGTGTTTCTTGTTCTTTTTTAAGTATAGAATTTAATAACAAAATTTTTACCTTTCACTGTTTATTAGACTTACTAGTTGTATGTAAGGGTTTCAGTACCCCTAGTGACAGTAAAATGTCTTGTTAATCTTATGCATTACATTTTCCTATGGTGACACTTTCTGATCTTGCACCTGTGATCTGAGCCAGTTTTCCAGCTACTCCTTTGCTGTGTTCTATCCTTACTGGAATACAAGTGAAATATTATGACACTGGAGTAATCATAAATTGACCAAATGTAGAAAATTAAGAAGGAGAAAATGCTTCCCAGATTTTATGCTGTAAAAAATTTTTTGCAATTTGTTTTTGATCATGAGGATTACATTATACAGTTTTTATTCAACATTAATTCGTAAGTCTTGTGTGAGTAAAAAATATATTTTTGTAATTCACTTTAACAATGGTTTTTAAAGTTTTGCTCAAAACACAGCAACTGCTAATTAATTAATTTTGCACTTTTTGTCCCAAAACTATATATAGATATATGAACAATTTTTTATTACAGTATGTCCTTTAAAGGTATATGACATAAATAAATATTATTGTATTTGAATATGTATTAAATTTAATCTCTTGCTGAATATCTTGTAGCTGCTTCAACATGTATCACTTTCTTAGTCAAGTCAAGTCTTGCTTCATCTCTATCACCAGGAAAAAAGCCTTTTTTTTTTCTCTTGAGAAATAAAATAAAGAATAATCACAATGAATAGTTTAAGGTGGTTTTTTTGTGAGCAAATGCTACATATCTTACTCTCTCATAATATCTATTTCGTATCTATAAAATTCTTAAATTTTTTCTTTGTTTTAACTTTGGAACATACTAAATCCAGTTGAGATCAAGGAACTTGTTTGCTGTTCTGGTATAGTTGCATTGTGTCCTGTTTGAGGTTTTGTTTGGAGGCTTATCTTACTACTTTCATGTAGAGTAGAAAAACTTTCATTGTAGTGACCCTTTTTCTGATTGGTCAGCTACTGAGAGAATGTGTATTGTGAATGAAGTTTTGGCAGTCCCAGATACAGATTTGTTCCAACTTTTGAAGAAGGTAGTCTCTGAGAGAGCCAAAAGCCATTGTAGAAGTCAAGTATTATAATTGTATTGTGTTATTTCCACTGCTTATTGTACACATTGTATATTTTAGCTTCTTTTTCACTATTCTTAATTTGTAAGACGTGATGCAATAGTATATAAAATGTGAAATAAACAATAATGCTTATTTTTGTTCTTCAAAATTGTTTATTTCTTCTCTTCTGTACTTGTTCTACCATTAATATTCTATCCAGCTAAATTTTCAGACCTCTTTTTATAGGGTGGGGTAGTTTACCCATGTGTTGTTATACTTCTAAACCAGAACTACAAGATGTGTTATTATATAAAAAATTATATATATATATATGTGTGTGTGTGTGTGTGTGTGTGTGTGTGTGTTTATTTCCTAAATGCAAAATCTTTATACCACTATTAGAGGGTATCTGTTTTAAGAATGTAACATCTATTTGGCTACAATAATTTTTTGTAACATATTCATAAAGTTAAGGCTACTGTACTAATTGGAACGGAATCTAGCACTGACCTGTAAAATTATTTTCTAATTCCTGTAATAGTAGACATATGTATGTACTTATCAGAAATCTGAGGTTTTGTTTGACCTACCCTTTCACATCGTCAATTAGTAATTAACATTAATAATTTTATGTCAACTTCTGTGCTCTTGTTTTTAATAGGATTTACAACATTCAAACATCTAGTAAGCAATTTTAGTGGTATTTCCTTGCCACAGGGTCTGAAGCATTGGAGATTGAGATTGTTCTTGCTGCCAAATGTTAACTGCACCACCAAGAGCATTACTGATGACAGTTTTTCATGTGATTCATTCAGTGACCTTAGTAGAGAAGAGGTTCTGCAACAGCAAGAAGGTTTTCTAAAATTTTTAGAAGTACTTAATCGAATTCGTCGACCAGTTTATTCTCGTAAGTCAAAGGTTAGTGAAGATATTAATCCTAAAAATAATTATTCCAGTGATTACTTTTTAATTGTTTCACACAATTAATCTAAATTAATAACTATTTTGTGTTATATGTCTGCATAGATATGCACTTAAGAATATAGCTCGTTGAAAATATAATATAGTGAGTGTTGCTTTATTCAGAAAATGGCATTTCTACTTCATTAAGTTGAATGTATGAAGTACCAAAACACATCTTAATGCTTTAACCCTCTGAAATAGAGCTTTAAGGATTTTATATGTATAACTAAAATAAATAACATTGCTAATAAGGTTGTGCACAAGATAATTAACAAAAATTTTGCTACTTTAAAGAAGTAAGATTGTGCAAGCACAGTTGACTTCTCTGATGCATCGATGAAAGGAACATATGCTGCATAAAATTGTTTGAAAAAATACCTTGCATCTGAGAAATGAGAGTTTACTGCAACTTTGGACAAGGCCTGGATGTACTTGAACAAATATTGTAGTATTCTCAGGTTAAACTGATTTTCTCAAAAAGTATTAGGTATATTTGCATTATAATGAGAGGATCAACAGGATAAATTACAAAGTATGTCTGAATTTAACTAAACTAACTGAGTTTATGCAAAGAAATAAATAGATGACACAATTCATTATACCATATGAATACAATTTGTATTTATGTCAAAGATAAAAATACAGTGTGTACTTGTGTTAGGACTCTGAACTATTCATCTACTATTGAATTTCTGAATTGATTAACTAATGTTATTCCATCGAGGTGTCCTCTCGTCAACCAACTCACTCAAGATTCCATGTAGACTGTTTAAATCTAATGTTTTTACTTCACTGGAAACTTTGGATTTACCCTGGTGATTAGTGATACCTACATGACTGGTCATTCTCGTTCAAAATAGGGAAGGCTATAACCTGTATATATGATCTTTCGTACTAGCAAAGGACACTGCTGTTGTCTATATCCTTGCACCGTGTTTAGTGTTACAGCAAATACCTCCATGGGCAGAACAGATATTATTTCCAGAGAACAACAAAGGTGCAAAGGGAGCTAGAATAAAGTCAAATTAATGGTTTTTCTGGACCACTTGTTATGCTTAAATTACATAATTTCAGAATAAATGAAGTTTTTGGAAATTTCTGCATTAAAGTAAGAAGGTAGAAAATTTGAAATTGTAAAGATATCTTCTTGTTAAACTTTGTTGTTGCTGCAAGTGTCTCATGTAATGGAAAATTTAAATTTCTCAAAGAGTACAGTAAAACAAAGGTGAACTCTAATTATTATCAGAATGCATACATATTGACATCAATTATGTGAGAGGAAATTCCTAAGCTTTTTAGCCAGGATGTCAAGAAGTATTTCTAGCATCAAATTACATGTTTTAGTCCATGTTACACACTATCTTCTTTTTTTAACATGCATATTAAGTCATCTGACTGCACACCAATGAGCTTCCATGCATTTGGTGTGAGTAAACATAGTGTTAGGAAATGATATTCGTATTCAGTGAAGAGTTTGTGGAAAGTTTGTCAGATCTATGATTTAATATTTACCTCTTCATCCCTCTTAGAAGCTTGTTGCAATAGAAATTACAATGTCTGGCAGTAGCTTTTCAATGCAACAGCTTGTTGAAATTGAACTGTAATTACATTCAATTATCAACATCTTCATCTAGCACAACCAGACCTGTTGTCTTTTTAGTTAATCAACATATAAAACTAAGCAACTCTTATATTGTCAGTCTCTTGGCACTGAACAAATTTCATAAGTTTTTGCTGAACTCTAGACCTGTATATCAATTCTCATTTACTTCTACTTTGAATGTTTTTTTTAACTGCTTCTTTCTCTTGAATTCTTCACTAACACTAATTGCATATGATTTTATTACTAATCATTCACTAACTGCCTTTATTTACAGGCCCATTCTTTCGACCCATTATTGTTCTAGAATTTTCTTCTGTAAGTTGTAATTTGTGGAATGGAATACTCTTATTAGCCTAACAATATAAGTGATTCAAGAAAGGATTGACATTATGGATCATATGAAATTACATTTAAAAAAATAAAATGTTATTTACCATGCTAAGGTTGCAACACATATTTACAATATTCTTTTATGTTACAATCTTAACTATGTAATGCTGAATTTTAATTTTAAATCAACTTTCACAAAGACTAATTGGCTTATAATAATTAAAAACATATACATTGTTTTACATTGATGTATTTAAAAAATCATAACATTTTTCAATACTTTGTTTTTTGTCTTATTTTTGTAATGCAACTTTGAAATACTTTAAATTATTCAGACATGCATACCATGTGAAATTGGAGGTATACAATTCAGTTATTCACCATTAAGAGATGCTTACTTTGAAAAAAAAGTAAACTTATAAGATGGAGTAGTTCTGTGTGTTTTTACTGTTTTAAGAAATATCTCAGACAAGCAATTATGTATAGTTCATAGTGATAGCATTGTAAATGGTGAAACATTTTTTAATGTAGTGTACCACCAGAATAAAATGAAGAATGTATTGTATTCTCTAACAAAATATAGCATCAGTAGTTCATCAACACTTTTTTACAAAAAATACCAAGTTCATGTGTTGGAAATATTTTTAGTATTTTTTTCAAGTTCCTTCAGGAATAGCTAGCTTTTAAAAAAATGTCAATGGAATTGATTTGGGCAGTATTTTTGAACTAATAAAGTGTAAAGGAAAAAGTTATTTTACTTTACCAGATCTTTAAAGGAAATTTGTACTTTTCAAAATAGTTAGTATTGGTAATAGTGATTTTTTTTTTCCACAGAGGTTACAGACACATGCTCGACGTCTCAGTTTAGGACACTCAATCTCATTTAATACTCAAGTTTCCCAGAATTCTGTTAGTGGAGGAACATCAAATAATAGTGGCCCCTCTTTCAGAGAGCGAGTGGGCAGCAACCGCATACATGATCGACCACGAAATGGTTCAAAGGGTGTAGAACGTGGAAGAGTATCACCTGCTTCAGAAGCTGACAACAAAGTAGGTGAAATTTGAATTTTTAATAACATAAGGTATGATCTTTCAATTTCTCTTGTTTCTTTCAAAGTCCACTGAACAGCTTAGCTATTGTTCAGAAATGAACCTCCATTACGAATGGTGGTAATAAAGTGAGAGTGGACTCAGTAATAGAAAGCTTTTATATGCATTTGAGATAGCTTAAAATACTTCAGGTTTGTTTGCTTAGTTTTTGATATTTAAGCATTGAAAGTACCTGAAAGTCGTACTTGTTCTTTTTGTCCAGTATGTTAGTATCTGTTTTCTTTTCTTTTTTTTTTCACATTCTCTAATAAATTTTATTTGTTCATATATTACTATTAGTACACTCACAAATAATGGTATGTTTTTGTCTTTGTGCATTTTCATTTCTTTTTTTTTTTACTCTATTATTTGTTGTATGAGTCCATGACTCATCTTTTTTTTTCTCCCTTATACCTCTTTAAACATATTCATGATTTTATCACACACATTTGTTTTATAAAACATACCTTATGTGACATCTGTTTAGTTGATGGCAATATACCATTTTAGTTGAATGGGTAAAGCATAAATTCTTCTGTTGCATATAAATAGACTGCTATATTAACTAAGCTTTTGGTTATGCATACATTTTTTAACCACAGTTTTCATGAGATGTTAAGTTTATTTTCTGATATGACTGCTTTAGCTTCATCCTCTAATTCTGTTAGCTTTTAATTTGTCATGTTCGTCTAGCAAACTTCAATTCTAGTTATCTAGTGTTTGTTCCCAGTTTATTTCACCACCCTATATCTTCAATGTAGTTGTGGGAATAAAGCTACCCTGCTTTACCAGAAATTCCAGCTCATTCTGGTTAAAATGGAACCATGTGTTGTCAATTGAGACTTTCCTACTGGTTCTAGCTGGGAACAATTTTCTGTTGGTCACTACATTTCTGCTTGATATTTCAGCAAACACATTTTTGAACGTTTCTTAAAGTCACTATTCTGTCAGAGCTCAAACAAAGTGAACTGCGAAATAAAAGAAACATGCAAATGATGTCAAAGTTGTAGACCTCCTGGAATCTTAGGTAAAAAATAAGATTATAAGTATCAATCTTGTATATTTTTTATCCTTTTCTGATGGTTCCAGCTGGCAGTGTCATTACTGATGAGCTGACTTTTGTTTTTTATGATACTCTGTTTTTCTAAGTAATATTAGTTTCCTGCTGATTTCTACTTCATATACATCACCTTGTTGTGCACACATTCATTGTCAGTAAATTTTAGTAATGTTATATTAATTATTTATTACAACTCCACATCGTTTCAAAAGTTAGTTAAAAGTTAACTATTTTTATTAAATATTCCTCACCAATGATATATATATATTTGAAATGTTTTTATCACTTTGGCAGTAGTTAAACTAAGTTCTGTAATTTATTTCACATTGTTTATTGTGAAAAGTAGAAATTGAATTAGGAAGTTGAAAAACTGTATTGGATAAATAATTTGTAGAAATATAACTCTTACAAGTTTTATTTCATGTGTTAAAATATGTCTTGGAAATTTAAAACAAATATGCAGTTTTATGCTGTTTTTTTTTATAAGACTTATTTAATCCATTATTTTTCTGTTACATATCTTCTGACTTTATCATCAGATATGTGTTATCTTTCAAGACACAATTTAAAGTAATCTATAAGGAAAAAGGAGAATTGTGTGAAATAAGCTGCTTAAAAATGTCAATGCTAGATTACAATTGTGTGATTTTATGTTAAGGGTAAAAGCATAAGGATAATTTTTACTAAAATATATAATTTGAAAATTCAAACTACACAGTAAATTTAGCTAGCAAAAAAAAGTATTTAAAATATTGAAAGTATACATTCTAAACTTTAGCTGTATAAAATATTTAATTATAACCTTTCAATGCTATATATTTTGTTGAAATATATCCATACAATAATAATATAATAATCACTATCTTAACTTTAATATAAATGAAATTTTAAATATGTTTAATCAGTTTTTACCAGTTCCTTACATACTATTTAAAAAAAAAGTATTTAAAATATTAGGATATAAAAGTCTGGATAAAATAATAAAAATAACTGAGAATTTGATTACATATCCAGTCATGGCAAGAATAATTATCCAATTCCAAATGAACAATTATACCTTACTTTCTAAAAGCTCCATTCTTTCTGGGAGCTAGTGGCTCTTTTTCTTACATTTTTTTGCTGTTACAAACATTTCTTTGAAATTTTGCTCTTTTTGATAATTCATAATTCCAGATAGCCACAGCAAGATATTTCACAAATCTTGAATCTTTCTGTTGCTTGCTAACTTTTCTTCTTTTAATGATATATGGTTGCCAATATGAACTTCCAGTGAAATTTTGTAATTATAACATTAGCTTAAAAGTAGATGAACTCAATAATTTATCTGCTGCAGATAACATTACATATGAAAAGTAATGTTCAATATTAATTCAACAACACAGTATTTCATATACTTACATTAAAAGGCTTTCTGTAGGTCCCTATACTTTAAAAAATCTGTAAACATTCAAAAAAGTAAATAGAAATTCATTATATACCAATAAAATAATGAGAAAATTGGTTTTCAGTTGCACATACAACATTTCTTCATCTTGTTTGTAATTTTTATAACACTATCATTCCAATCTTTTACTGTAAGCAATTAGATTCAGACTTTTCTTGGCCCACAGATAAACTACCTGATTACCACTGGAAGCCTTTGGAGAGAGATGCATTTCACTTTGGTTCTTTAAGTACAAATTTGTCAGAAATAAATTATTATGAAGTTTTTTTTGTAGAAATATTAATAAAAGTTTTGGTGATTTCAGAATGTCATATATTAAGGAACCTATCAGTTAATCAAAGCACTCAGAACTCTGAACTATTTCAAAGACGAATTGAAAATTATCCACCAATCCAACCATGTGCTCCAAAATAGTAAACTCTCTTCTAAACTTCTATAAGATAAAAGCTTTTACCTCTTTAGAAATCAATCCATTCCAAAAGTAATTCCTTTGCTACTGAAATTGAAATTCCTTAATACAGATTGTTCAACCTTTCCAAATCTTTTTATCATTTACCCATAAATGTGATCAACAGCATCAACAATAATATTTCATTCCCCAACTGAAATTATGAAACTTCACTAAAACAATATTTTAAAACCTTTCTAAATTACAAATTCTTTAACTTATTTAACCTTTAAATTTATTTTCACTTGTGATTGACATTAAATGATCACTTACTACAGATTTATCACTTAATAACAACCAAACTTGCTGGTAGGAAATCAGTTTTGTATGCTACTGTATAAAAATTAAGCACAGTTTACAACTGAACAGAAGTAGAAGGCCAAATTCTACTCTTTTATAGACATATTTCAAATAATAATTACATCTGTGTAACTCCTAAATAAACACCATGCACCAAAGCATGAAAATCACTCAATTTTACTTTTGCAAGAGTTATTTTAACTGACACATTACTGGAAATCCGGGGACAAAAGTGGTGAGACTAGAAAACTATCTCACAAACATTTTTTAAAATCCTTATTTCTGTTTTGAAACAGAATTTTATTTTTGTCATGTGACAAATTCAAGTTTTATCCATGGAATTAATGAAACTACTCATTTTATGTAATGTAAAATGTGAATAGTTTTTCTCTGAAGTTAAGGTTTACACAATGTGATTTGTATTTTCTAAAATTCAGAAAAATAACCCTTTAGTACATTTAACTTCCAAGATACGTGAATAAAAGTTATCAAGAAGACATTGCATGACAGATGTAAAAGTTGAAAATAAATGTCCTCATTTTTTAGCAGTGGAAAATTATTTGGGAATCAGAAACTTTGGCATACTATTATTCTTGCTCAGTTCTTCCTGCTGTATGAGGTTTTGAAAATCATATTCATAATACAGTATATACAAACATCATACACATACATAATGATACTATGATATGATTGATATTTGATATCATTATTCCACAGATTAAAGACTGATTCTTAAGCATGTTTTTGACATTATAACCATGCTTTTTGAACTGTGAATGAAATGTTTACTGTACATTACAACAATCAGGCAAAATGGAACAAGAAACATTTATTTGCTTACATCCTACTAAAAATAATTTGAGGTTTATTGTACTAAGGTCTAATATTTTTGTTAAAGATCTCAGATTCATTATCATATTTCCAAAGAATCCTATAGATCTTTTTGCCTCTGAACATTTGAAGTAATTTTTGAATAAACATTTGTATGTCTTCCAGTTAAATCAAGGTAAAAGAAGAACTTGTGTTACAGTGTCTTATCTGCCTGACTTTGAAATGATGTAATCTTGAGTAATATAGATACATGTGTAGTGTCTATTCATCATTCAAATTAAATAAACTGAATTTAAATCCAAAAATAGACAAAAAAAAAATCAAAATTTAAGTGGAATTTTCTTTCATATTACAGCCCAGCAAGAAATATTTTCATTATAATTCTTATGGGTAAAAAAATAAAACATTTTTCTCTCTCTGGAAATTTTTCCACCTTGTGTTGATTTATTAACAAAATGTTTTATCAATGAAATACCATTCAAAATTATTTAAAAATTAGATTATGTTATCAAACTAATTAAGTCGAGGACCAGTGGTAAATGCCAAGGGAGAAAACTTGTTACATTTGGGCCATCACAAGTTTTTACTGGAAGAAAAATACAATAAATGATACCAGGCACTAGATGAAAACTACATGAAAAAAATGCAGCCTGGTGATGAACACACTGATAACATGATTGCTCTTTGCAGATAATGTTATTTTACTTCTTAAATATCAGTTTTCATATATTTTGTTTGTTTATTTCAGTTAGGAGGGTCAAACACATCATTAGAAGGAACTTCTGAAGGAGTAGATTCTACAGATGAAGCGTAAGAATGAAAAAAAAACATTTTATATCTTAAAACTTTTGTCTTTTCTTTTGTGCACTTAATTCTCCAACATAATCTTTTATTAGATTCATACAGAGTGTTTCTAAGTTTTTGAACTGCTTTAGTAATTGAATAGAATGAGAACTACATAAGATAAACAGTTGTGGTATAATGGAGGCTAATACCTCACATTTGTCCATTGTCAGTGGTGGTGTTAGTACACCTAGACATGGTTACTGTTCATGACTCAAAGGATATCCAGGCAACATCCAATCTCCACCCACTTTATGTACCAGCATTTCTAGAGCAATTGCCGCAATTGGGTTAGTTATTTGGGCACTCAGTGTTGCCATACCTTGTACCTTAGTCTTATAAATGATGCCCTTCACATACTCTCATCCTAGTAAGAAACAACTTTAAATGTCAGTCTTCCACATGTCTCAAACTGCACCTGTTTATCTGGTGTGGTTTCTGTTCTATTCAGTTAAGAAAGTGGTTCCTTAATTTATGGACACCTTGTATTTTTGTCTTAATAGGAACTTTCTTACATTATCTATTTTTGTTATAATTTCTGAACATTTTATTATTTTAAACAGCATATATGAAAAATTAATCAATAATCAATTTCTTTTGCAATCTTTAAATTACCTCCTACTCTTCAGTTCTTGTTTCCAAAAACAGATTCTGTATACCTTTTAATGTTATCTATGTCTTTTAAACTCATAACTTAAAGTCATAATAATTTTAACTGCTTTTTTTGGCCTTCTAATTTGTATAAAATTGAAGCTATTTTTTAGCTTCTCAACTACTGAGTGCTAAGTAACTAAAACTGGCATGTTCTAGTTGTGCATCTGGTTAACATCTTTAATAATATGGGAGCAACCTCAATTTTTTATGCTTAATATATGCCACATATTTCACTGTTTGCTGACTTTAACCATAGAAAATAATTTGAAAAAATCCATGTATAAAAAAAATATGGTAATAAGCCTTAAACTAATGTATCACTGTGTTGTGCTTAAGTTATTAATTAAAAGGAAGAAATTGGTGATTTAATCTCATTTTTTGGTTTATTTCGTGAAACTGGTAGGAGATCATGTTCTTTAAAGTCAAATTTCACATTATTGCCTAAAACCTATGTTTTAGATAAGTTTGTTTTTGTATATTGGTTTATTATTTAATATTATATGTAATTGTAAGAGCTTTACAAATTATAATGTGTTGCAGAAATGCTTCAATATTTATATATATATATATATATTTTTTTTTATCATTTTAACAGGGCTCAAGCAGATTTAAAACCTTTAAATGCAAATTCACCTCATGCTGAAATAATTGAAGCCATGAAACATCAAGTGTAAGATAATACTCTTTCTTATGCTTTAACTCTTTCACACCCTAATGGGTGCAGTTCACCTCAAGGGCAAAATTGCACCATTGAATTAAAAAAATGATAGAAAATAAATTTCTATTCATTTTTTCACACATAAAAAAAGTTTTATTTATTTAATTGTGTGTGTGTATATATATATAAAGTTAAAAATCACAAAGATTGATTTTGTAATGATTTCAGCATGCTTTAAGTGAAATCTTTGGTGTTTGTGAATTTCCTGAATTTTTTCTGAACATAACATGGCACTCTCAGTTCCTTAGGAGGAAAATTATTATTTTTTTCACAAAATAGTTATACTTTGTCCTTGTAACTTAATAAAAGTATACTTTATCAGTTTTTAACCAATCAATGTTTTTCAATAATGATGCAACATAATTGTCTGTATCTCAGCTTTGAGAAGCCATAGGCTACTGAGCTAAACATGACATAATCAAATGTTCTTTTTCCATTTTTTTCAACTGTTAAAGCCAAAAAAAGCTTTCAGTTTAGCAAGGATTTTTATAGAGATCAAAACAAACCAATGAAAGCTTAGCTTAGCAATATGTTGCTACAAGAAAATGTGTCTGTGAACATCTCTGCTACATTTACAGTCCTCATTTTTTTAAAGATTGTAGAAAGGATGATTAATCATTTTATACTTCACTTGAATTATGATGTTGAAGTATGATATGAAAAAAAAGTTTTTTATGCAACAAGATAAGGTAAACGTAAATCATTTTGCACTTAACCTATCACGTTTTTTGCCAACAAGGCTAATGTGTTAGGCCTAGTTTGCATTAGGCCATATTGGCCTAAGTATATGTTCAAATGGGGAAAGGAAATAGATATGTAAGAAAAATATAAATGAGTATAAAACAGGTCTAAAACTTGTTACATATATTAAATGAAACCTTCTGATTAACAATTTTAAAAATATTTTAGATATGGTAAAAAAAGTAATTCTTATTGCACAGTTATAGTAAACACAATGAAACTGCATGCATTGTTCTTTGTATCAAAACAAATAAGATTTACAGATGTTATAAAGTTATAAACTATAGATAAGTTTTAAATATATGGAGAAAGATGTAAAAAATCAGTAAATTAAAAACTACTAAGCATTTTTTAAATGTTTTGTAAAATTACATTACAATGAAATCTTAAGAAATTTTGTATCTTCAAGTTCATATAAATGTCACATGTATAAAAATAAGTATGTAAATGTAAGGTTAAAATAGCCCTCTATACATCAGCTCAGAATTATTCAGTTAAAGACTTAACAGAAACTTTAACATAGATGCTTGTTATATGTGGAACAATATTCTTCATTTTAGTGTTGTTTAACCTACGTTTCTACATACAACAGGTTCATTTTATTTTAATATCATTTATCTTTTAGTTGAGAATATATCTGTATGTGTATTTATAAAGTTATTTGCTGATGATGATTCTTTAGCAGGTCTAAAAACAAGCTGTGGTAAATTTGGATGTAATAAGGAGACTGGGATGCAGTGAATCACTGGTTGTATTTAGCTCTCTATTGAGGAGAATTCTTTGATTATATTATCACTTTATTCCAACAAACAAGATTTTTAACTGTTTAGTTAAAAATCGATAGATTGCAGCTAGTCTTGAAAAGTTGAAGAAAAGTATGTTTTTTAACAGCAAAGTAAATTTTGTCATATTCGGTACATACTGTAAACACAAAACTGATATTGCGACTATGTGATATATTGGGCTATTAAATGAATATATATAAGAAAAATAATAGAATGTACATTGAAAGATACAGAAATTGGTATCATATGGCCATGCTTGGGCCACAGTGGATCACTTTGATCAAGGGATCCAAGTATCACGAAGGCTTTGTTTAAGTGCTTATCATTTGTTATTCATTGTGCATATTACATTAATCATAGAAGTTGAGAAAAATGTGAGGCTGGATTGTAATTGTATATTTCTGGTTTTTGTTGTTGACCAATTCTTAAATTGAGTCCCAGTATTGCAAATGATCTGCGACTGTGTAAGTTGTTCTTCATTCATATCTCTGATATGTCTATCGAATATAGCAGTCTAAAATATGTTTAGGTAAAGTTAGAGTAGACCATAATTGTAGATCTTTCAACTTGTAATAAGCAGTTCATTAACAACAAGATTTTGTTAATATGAGATGCTGATTCACCCTAACAAGGAATTGGGGCACAGTGGATCATTTTGACTTTTTTTTATGTATCAATAAAAGTATCAGTTACTGACATAACTCATAAAAAATAAATGATGCAATAAAATAGCGAACATAACTGTGTGTCATTTTCAAATGGGAAATAGCCTACTATATTTTCATTATACTTGAACTCTTCTACTTTTTATCTGCTACACTTGCACAATGTTTGAAAATTCTGTAAAACTCATGTATTATTGTTGTTTTTTTGCTTAATTATGCTTCTCTAGGAAAGGCCAAAAGCTGATAAATGACAAAAAGTTTTGTTATTTCCTTAGAATTTATTTTGTTTTAAACTTTCTTATGTAATAAGTACTAGTGTACCTTCATTAGATTTTTGCATGTTTATTTAATTTTTTTTTATTGTCAAACTGATTTGGAAGCTATAGAATATGTATACTTTTGTATTTTTGTTTTGTTTAATTTTTAAATGTTTAGTTTTCACGGTTACTTAGTAATTATTTTTGCTTTCATACTTCATGCTTAAAACTTGTTAATTACAGTATCTTAGATAACTTATTTGTAGGCAAAGTCAATCTGAAACAAATATACACATATTGAGAATTCTGAAACTAATCGTGAAATATTTTTAATATTAGCATCAATTGGGAAACCAACTTTAACTCATTACCATGAAATTCTGTATTTTGGAATAGTATTTATTAAAGTTAGGTTTCTTAGGAATGTGATTTTTACTATCTTGCAAATTAGTGTTTATTTAAGTTTTTGCAAGATGACAGAATTCAATTTATTAACCATAATTTTGTAACATGATGAAACTATCGTATTGATAATGTCAGAGTAAATATAAAGCTGTTTATTACTTATGCTCAGTATTTTGTATCGTATTGATAATGTCAGAGTAAATATAAAGCTGTTTATTACTTATGCTTAGTATTTTGTATTGTATTGATAATGTCAGAGTAAATATAAAGCTGTTTATTACTTATGAAATTAAAGATTATACACAGATTGATGCAGTTTTAACTCAGTTTTATAATGATTATAGAACTGAGATGTAATATGGTTTGAGCAAGCTATAACAATCTGATATTGGCATGTAAAAAGTTGTTTATGCTATATTTTACTTCACCCATTTACAAGAGAGAGAAGAGATAAAGATACTTATGTAATACCATTTACAAATTACTGTTATGTAATTAATGATTTGTTAGAGGTATACATATATATTTGCAGGAATGGTTTGAGTTTCCTCAATAAGCAGTCTGGTCTACCACCATATTCCTTTATCAGTGGAGAGGCAGTATTATGGGTGATAGAAAACATAGAGGGCATTACGTCCCAAGTTCAGGCCATACATTTTCTTCTGGTTAGTACATTAAACTGTTCCAAAACATAAACCTAGTTCAGTAAGATTTTAGGTAGGTTGCATTATTTTTTGTTAATTTTATACATACTCTGATGATCTGATCTCATTTGTATTTTGAATAATCATATATCTGAATTTTGAAAGAAAGGTATAACCACAAATAGGCAATATAACTGAATCAATCAGTCAAATGAACATTTGAAAAGCCAGCCATCAGTCACTCCAGGCTTTTTGTATCTTAAAACATAATTGTAGAACATAAAATTGTATTAAGCTTTCTTTTATATTCAGGTATATAAACTTGTGTGGAAAACACAGTATCATTTTTTTCACATTCATAATCTGAAAATAATTTGCCATTTGTTGGATGTGGTGGTTTTCAGTGCACAAATCAACAAGAGGGGAGGAAAGGTGGGACTCCTATTAAAAGTTGGTTTCATGAAGCATAGTCCCTTATCCCCTTTCCTTCCAACACTACTACCAGGTATATAGATCAACAGTATTTATATCTACATCTCCACCTCATCTTTCAAATTAGCTCTGCTACTCAGGAAATGTAGTCATAGGGGAGCAGTAAGTATAATGATGACAAGTTTGGAAACTTACTTTATTATGCTTAACAACTCCAAATGCAATAAGAATATATTGAAAAGTGTATATATATATATTAGGCATAATTAATTTCAATTTTATTTTGTTATTTCACTAGGCGAAAAGTAGAACAAATAATTTTATGAATATTGAAAAGAAATGTAACAGTAGAATTTTTTTCTTCATCTTAACATAAAAGTAAGTTCATGCTAGATGATTGACTGTAGGCAGTGATCAGTTCTGTATGGTAACTTTACAGTAATTGTATGATTTTTTGTATGAATTACACACAGTAAAGGGGGCACTAACTTTATCAGTTGAGATCCAGTTGTGATGAGAATATATTTGGAAGGCATATCTTGAAATGTGTTGTAAATTTTTATTTGTAGGTAAGTGACAGAAAACAATTTAAACAGTCCAAGCTATGACTTTTGGAATTACTGTGAGCAAGATTATTTATTTTGTTAATTAAAATTAGCTGTAGGTGGCTTTGATATTACATCATATTTCATCTACTGCATATCAAAAAAGCACCACAGCCCCAAAATATACAAGACACCAGAGTATGCTGTCAGTGCTTTTTCATTAAATGTTTAAATGAATATACCCTTTAAAGTTCTAATCACAAAATAGATTATACTGACTTAGGTAATTGATTAATCTGTTCTGTAGGTGATACCTTATTTAACATGATTCTTATTAAGCACCCATTAGAATATGGATAGACTAGTGAAATCTCTTTGTCCTTACAGTAGGTACTTTATGAATCTGTGCTGTAGGTGATACATTATTTGACCCACTTCTTATTAAACACCCATTAGAATATGGATAGACTAATGAAATCTCTTTGTCCTTACAGTAGGTACTTTATGAATCTGTGCTGTAGGTGATACATTATTTGACCCACTTCTTATTAAACACCCATTAGAATATGGATAGACTAGTGAAATCTCTTTGTCCTTACAGTAGGTACTTTATGAATCTGTGCTGTAGGTGATACATTATTTGACCCACTTCTTATTAAACACCCATTAGAATATGAATAGACTAGTGAAATCTCTTTGTCCTCATAACTTCACTCTGAATAAGTATTTCTAATGCCTTTAGTTAACTAATCATTGTTCTGTGTGATCTGTCTGAAAAAGTTTTCATGGCAAATTTAAATTATGTCTAGAATGGGTTGCTGTGGAAATACATCATGGAACTTTGATTTCATGGTTGCTCTAGCAGGTATGTGATATGTAGACATATCTTATGTTTTCTTCCTGCTTTAGTAATAAAGGAATATAAAAATTGTTCATGTAGTCTGATTCTGTGCAGTTTTAGAACAAACATGTGGTCCAGAAAGTTATTGAGGGTTTTTGTTCTATTATCCTTATTCCTAGCAGATAGTATTTTTTTGCCTACAGAGATATTATTGCAACTTCACAAGTTATACAAAACAGGCCATTGACAGCCATGCCCTTTGCTGGTCGAGTAGATGTATTTAGAGGTTACAGTATTCATCATGCTGTATGAGATCAATCAGTCATGGTAACACGTATTGTTATAGGTAAAGCTAATGTTTCCTATTAGTACAGAGTATTGTATTAACTTCAGGTTTCAAATGTGAATCAGTTGACAGGAAAACATCGTGAGAGAGAAAGAAAATTGCTGACTGGTTCATTGATCCTGTAGAAGACAACTGTCCAGCATCAATTCAAGCACAGTTTTTTTCTGTTCTGAAAATATTATAAAGATTTTATTTCACTTTACATCATATGTCTAGACTGTTTATTTTCTTAACTTAAACTCAGTCATTTAGTTAAATTTGGTTTTACTTCACAATCTTCCTGAGTGATCCAAACATTATAAAGTGGACCTATGTAATACTCGTGTGGTAGTCAATTTCATCTGAGAATACGACAGAATAAGTAGGGAGGAGAAGTTTTGATGACATGACCACAGGATTTATTGTAGAGATTTTTGTCTTTGCTAACATGTATATTGGTCTCAAAGTAGAAGTTTTCTCAGCCAAGAGGGAGAGTTTGCTACTATAGAGAAATGATTGTAGGAGATAGGTGTTGAGTCTAGGAGATGTCTTGTCATGAACATAGGAGTTCTGGAGAGGCTATGAAGGCCCCTGATATTGTAGAGATTTTTGTCTTTGCTAACATGTATATTGGTCTCAAAGTAGAAGTTTTCTCAGCCAAGAGGGAGAGTTTGCTACTATAGAGAAATGATTGTAGGAGATAGGTGTTGAGCCTAGCCTAGGAGATGTCTTGTCATGAACATAGGAGTTCCGGTGAGGCTATGAAGGCCCCTGACATCGATCACCCTATAGCCACAGACTCAGGATCATCAGCTGATATCTGTTGCCCCTGAGGATCTCTTTTGGTACAATGGAAGCAAGGACAACTGAAGTTCTGAGGTGAAATGGCACCTGGCAAGTCCAAGACCACTTGGGAGGGTTTCTGCAGGACTCCTGTGAAAACCAAATTCGACCTGAGAAGGGCTGGAAGTCCATTATACCACCTCCACCAGTCAAAGATGTTTCCCTGATAGGTGAGACAGTGAGCACCCAAAGATAGACTGTGAACCATGGGACGATGGGATGCCTGAAGTGGCAACTATGGCTCACAAAACAACTGGGGTTGTGCAGTGCTATATGATGTGTTGCCACGAGCAACTCATTTCCTCATCACCCTGGACCAGGGACCAACTACTTACTAGGGTCTTTAAATACGTTTGCCACCCTGCACTGAAATTCAGCAAATTTTTAAGAAAAAATCATATAATTTTTAGAGAGTACTTGGTCATATCCAATAGTGATTGTCAAGAAAAAGAAAGCTTTGCTAAATTTATGTGTTGATCTTATACGGGTGAACATGGTATCTCGCATTAATGCCTTTCCGTTAATGTAAACAGATTAATATTTAAACATGCTAGAAAGCTATTGTTGATTTAACACTTCAAATTTGGCATCTGGATACTTCCAAGTTGAGGACAAGAAACGGCTTTCATAAATTCTGTATCATTCTATTCACTCTATGCAATGTGCCTACCATTTTTTAGAGGATCATGGAGCTTACAATGAAGGGACTGCAATAGGAGAGATGTATGGTCTACGCCAACAATATTTTGGTGTTTGGTTGCATGCTTGATTTTGTGGCTGAGAGTCTGAAAATGGTATTATAGTGGAAAATATAAAAATATACTGAAGCTGGAAAAGTGTTTGGGCATGGAAGTGGAGTTTCTTGGTCACATTATGGGAAGAGATGGAGTCCCTATAGACATGGCAAAAATAGCCACGGTGAGGTATTTGGCTGTGTCTAAGTGAGAAGTCTGCAGTTTCCTCAGTTTCACATCATAGTACCAATAATTTGTAGTCAACTTCTCCAAGATAGCAGAACCATTGTCTGCTTTGATGAAAATTGAGACATGTAATGTGACCATGCATTCCAATCTCTAAAACTTGCTTATTGGATGCTCCAGTGCTAGTCTATTCACAACAAGACAGCAAATTCCTGTTAGAAACACTGACATGAGCAATAAAATTATTGGGACAGTGTTATAGCAGTTTTGGGATGGAGTAGAACATGTAATCATGTTTTCTAGTCATATGCTCATGTGGAACTTTTATATTTAGTTACAAGTGTAGGAATCATACTATATCATTGCTGTAAACCACCAAGCCTTGGTATTCTGTCTGTGCTGCAGTTAAGTGTCCCCTAGAGCTTTTTGTCAGTAGATTTTCCAGATTCTGCAAATCACAAAGACTAGAGGGTACCAGGATATAACTTGCACTTGTGCTAATATTTGTAGACAGCTCTTTTGGTCATATTTGAGTCAAGATGTTTGGCACTGGTGTTAATACTGTACTTTGTGTGTTGCCCTGAAAAGGAACTAGTGGAGACAATATAAACTTTGATGGAGAATTGTTGGTTCTCCTCTGAAGAGGATAACCCTGGTTATCACGGGTCCACTTCCAAAGATTGAAAGAGATCATTGACACATACTTATCACCATTGTCTACTTCACAAAGTAGGCCAAGGCTTTTCCATTGGTTGATACATTGACACAGTTCATCACTGACATATTGGCAATTTTCTTGTTCAATCCTCTTTTCATAAAGTAGGCCTAATACTCATGTGGAAATCAATTTCATCTGAGAATACCACAGATATAAAGATATTATTGCAAACAGATAATTGCATAGTTTTAATAAACTTGCCTATTTTGATTTTGTTTATTTTTTTATTTTTTCCTTGGTCTTCTTGCTTTTTAATGGAATCTTTGGATTTGGCTGTATGTTAGAAGAATCTTTTCCTTGAAAACTTTAATGTTGAAGTTAGAAAGCTTACTCTAATTTACCCTATCCCATAGGCTCACATCTTTATCAAATCTGGAACATTAAAAAGCAGTATGATTACATTTAGCTGTGAAATGTCATGTTTTGTTTTTATCTAAGCTGTAATTTTTAACTGTTATTCTTGACAAGTGTACAATCTTAGATTGTTTTCAGGACTGTTGCTCATAATTGATTCTTTTCAGGTATAATATAGTATTTGAATTTTCTTTTTTAATTGACTTAATAGTGAGTGGTGTGCTTCATATAATTTAAGTCCTTTTACACTTAATGGTATCTTAGATAAATTTAGAAATTCTCTCTCTCAGAGCTTTTGTGGATTAAGTCAACCACCACCAAACTTATTGTGTTGTATTAAACACATTGAAATGGTTTTTTAATTTCATTCTTGAGATTACACTTTGTCTGTTAACTTGTGTTTGGGCAAGATGCTCTTCGATGCTCTTCTTCTTCGTGAAATCTTTATAGTCATAAACCTGCAGGCATATACAGATGTTTATTTATTTTAAATTTTTTAACATATCAGTTTAAAATCAACAGCAACATGAATTGTAGTATACTTTTATATAAATAATGACAAAAAAACAACTTTAATACTTAAGTGTGAAATTAGCAATCTTTTTTCTCGTATAAAAATTTCCCGATAGAAAAACGTGAAATTCTTTATTGTACTTACTTACTTATTTTAGTGAAATATGATACTTCACTTAATCTCTTAAGTTCTGATTGTTTCTTTTCTTAATGAAAAGTTTCTTTATTGTTTATTGATTTCATCCATATACGTAAACAAATAAGTTTTCAATTGATCTTAAGTTTTTAAAAAAGTTATGTAAGAAAAACGTGAAATTCTTTATTGTACTTACTTACTTATTTTAGTGAAATATGATACTTCACTTAATCTCTTAAGTTCTGATTGTTTCTTTTCTTAATGAAAAGTTTCTTTATTGTTTATTGATTTCATCCATATACGTAAACAAATAAGTTTTCAATTGATCTTAAGTTTTTAAAAAAGTTATGTAAGTCCTTTTAAATGTATCATGATAATACTGAAAATTTACTTAACTCTTCTTTCTTTCAAGTGTGGGTTATAGGCAAAATTTTGTTTTAAGCTGTAATTTGATGGTGGTTTAAATCTTAAAAGTTCATATACTTTTTTGCAGAATCTTCAACAAGAAGGCCTTATTTGTCATGCTTCAGGAGTTACAACCATACAATTTATTCATGGTTTTTATTTGTACTATTTGGTATGTCAAGAAAAAGATCAAACCAAAGGTGATATTGCTTAAGTCACTCATTTATGAAATAATTATTTCATTGATATTTGATTTCTGTATATGTATTAGTTAAATACAACTAAACTGTAGTCTTCCACAAAATATTTATAATTTTGTTACCAATAATATAATTTTAATATAAAAAGTAAAATGTACGTGTGACTAATTTTTATGTTTAATTAATGTAAATTTGTTTTTAGGATGCAGTTAACAGTTAAAAACATACTCTATGATCATAATTACACAAAGGCAATAGTCATAATTATACAAAAGCTGTATGTTATTAAATATTCAGACAGACTTTGGATAGTTAGTTAAGAGTGATTGTCCAAGAAAAAAGAAATCTAGATTATAGCCTGTCCCCAGTTGTATTTTATAAACAGTATAGTTGGAAGTAAATTTTTTAAATAAAAAATGCAGAATATAAAAATCTGCACTTCAGTTACATAAATGTACTTGTGAATTAGCTGAAATATATAACTAGAACATTATTCTAGATCTCTCTTATTGTGTTTTTTTTTTTGCTAAATTGGCACATGGCTTCAACTGGGTCTAGTATGTTCTGAATTAGAAATTAGGAAAAATTCTAAATGTAAAGCATGCACCTTAAAAGAGTGTGATATATAGCACTTACATACCACAACCTCTGATCCCTTATCCTTGGTTTGTCCTCAAGGTGACTTCAAATTTGATATGTACCAATTTAGAAAATCACATGGAAATCACAATCTTCATTTTCAGGATGTAAATACTACAAAAGGATGAGACACACCATATTAACCATAGGAATACAAGACTTGTGGGTACAACAAACATCCTCACTATTACACAAACTGCTAATTTCACAAGTAATATAGGACAGACAAATCCTTTAAAGACACAATCTCAAGTTCTGGTCCTTTTCAAGTGCATAAGTATATACATATTACAAAATAAGACCTTTCAAAATGACCAAAATTTGCACTACATGTAAGTAGAAAAATTCAAGATAAAAGTACGATAGCTGGTGTAAACTCTTGAGGAAATAGGTTACTTATGTGCCAAATCATCATCATCATCATCACAATTAAATACTGAAGATGCTCTTTAAAATTTGCTCATGAGATTTATAATTCATTAGATAATAGTAGAGTAGTACTAGCTATTTTTCTAAATCTCCAAAAAGCTCTTGGTATGGTGTCTCACCACAAACTTATAAATAAATTAAAAACAATAGATGCAATACTAAACTGGTTTAAAAAGTTTTTGCAAAACAGAAAACAAATAGGTAAAGTTAATAATTTAATAAGTGATCAATCAACAGTAAAATATAGTGTTTGTTTGTTTTGAAGTTGAGCACAAAGTTACACAATGGGTTATCTGTGCTCTGCTCACCATGGGTATTGAACTCGTTTCTAGCATTGTAAGTCTGCAGATATACTGCTGTGCCACTGGGGGGCAAGTATAGTGTTCCACAGGGTTCTGTTTTAGCACTGTTTTATTTATAACTTACACTAATGTTTGACCTTTTTTGAATTGAACTTCAATATTATTATTATGTTTGTTGGTGATACAGTAAAGATATGTAATTGGAATATTATAAGAAATGGAAAGTAAACAATAGTGATTTAAAAAAAACAAGAAAATGATTTTATAAAAACACTATTTATAAATGATAGTAAAACAAATTATATTTTACTTAAATTAAAATATAAGATGTTTGTAAATGAGGATTAATTCCATTTAACATTTTATAATTATATGTATATAAAAAAAACCTATAAATTGTGAATGTTTATAGATTCCAAAAATTGATGAAATATAATATCTAGGATTGATGTTTGATCAGAATTCAAATTGGAATTAGCATGTTAAAGATATAGGAAAAACTTTAAGAATAATTTTTTATAACTTGTATTTAAAAGATTCTTAAAATTAAATACATGTGATACTCTGTCTTTCTTGAGCTCAATCAGTATTGCAATATGGAATTTAAATTTGGGGAAAACCTTTTTTTTAACAACATTACAACCAACTATAAATGTTCAAAAAATATACAATAGATTATATCCAAAGAAAATATCAACATGAACCGATTTTTGTAAAGTTTACTATATTAAATATATTACTATTTAAATATTTTTTATCTATAAGTTAAGCATGATATTTATTACAATAGAAAACATTGATTGAAGTATAAAAATACCATTAATCAAAAAATAATAATATAAAACATTTTTATTTCTTAGCACCTAAAGTTTGTAATGTAATGAGTTATTACTGATTATGAGGAACAAAGGTAATAAAATTTCAAAAATTATTGAGATAATATTTTAAAGATACTCAAAATATATGATTTTTTAAGTAATTAACTGTCTTAAGGTCAGAAATGGAAGAATTTATATCAGTGTATTTATTTTATATGTCCATTATTGTATTTTTATTTTGATGATAATTTTTTTCAATATCATAGATTGAAGGATTTGTATTTTTTAAGTATTTATTTTATATTTGTATTGTAATGTGTAAAAAAATGTTAGTTTCTATTTCAAATTGAATGTGTATTATATTAACTCAGAGAAACTATTAACTTTTTAGTTTATTTTATGTGTGTATATATATATATATATATAGTTATCGATAAAAATAATTTGTAAGTAATAAAAAATGAAATGTTTGTTTTTACATCTGAATAAAAAAGACACATCTACAAGTTGGTTGTAATGAAAATCTTGGAGATCTAGGAATTATTAGCTGCATAACACGTCAATCATTTCACTTCTGTGGATTGTGTTAACAGTGCTATGCTCTCTCCTGTACCTCTACATAGTCCAACAATTACTTAAGGTCTCATGTTTTCATACAGTATTCACTGATCTGTGATTGTTGTGCTTCATCTTGCTGTACAGCAAGAGGTGCATAGTTTAGCACTGGCTACTATAACTACCTAAATTATCTTGGGTTTTCTTTCATCATATTTTGCATCCATTTATCAGGTGAATCCTCAGTATTTATATAGTTTGTCATTAGAGTTGTGATTTCAGGTTTCACTGCGTCATTATGTCTATGGTTCTGACATGCTACCAAAAGAAAAGCTATCACTATTTGCAAGAAAGTTTATCTGCAACCTGATATTCTTACCCAGTCAGTTTTATTCGGTGAACTTGTACTGGTATAATGTTGTGATCCAATGTGCAATAATATTTTCCATTTCTTTAAATAGGAAGAAATGGACTTAAGGTTGTTCGTATTAGAACTTGTAAATATGTTCATTTGTGTAGTATGTTGTTCTGTTAATATTAAAAGTTATGATAAGTCTTAATTTTCCAAAATATCGTTGATCTGTTAAAAATTAATGGAAGATTTTTGTTCATTATCTTGATAATGTAATTTTTAATTCATTTAATTATGTTTTCAGTGACATAGAAAAACAGGTATTAGCTCTTAAAATTTGTTATTACACCAAAAAGACTTAAATGTGATTATTATCTACTGAATTTTAAACATTGTCTAAACTAAAAAGCTAATGGCTCAGCAATGAATTGTTCAATAGCATAATAAATTGAGTGTTGTATATAAATAAAGGTATTGCTTTAACATTGTTTAACAACTATAATTTGGAAATAAACCTGTAAATGTAAGGAAAGCTTAATTTCAAGCCATAAAACTTTAACTAAAAATATAGCAATAACACAGGTAAATGAAATGTAGTTATTGTTTTAAGGGGAAAGTAAAAAAAAAAAAATTGTTAAGTACCTTGCAAGAGCTTTATGGCCCTCAGTTAAAAGTGAGAATTAAAGCAAGGTTATATTATGCAAGAGCTTTATAGGTTTTCCTGAAACAAACAAGAGTAAAAGAAAAAATGTATGCATTTGTATTTTTAAACTACTGCTAGAACATAGTCCTCATTTAAGGATAAGTAAAATTAAAGAACACACACATAAATGGAAAAGTACACAAAACTCTTTGCAAGAACTTTAAGAGTTCTCATGAAAAGTTAGAGAAAACTGAAAGTCACACAAAATCCGAGCTACAGCAAGAAAACACAATGAAAAGAAAAAACAAAATTAGTAATACGAACATATTAAAAAATGTATAATTTAAATGAAGACTGCATGTTGTTCAGAG